AAGAAATCAGCTGTTCCGCAATGTCTCTATGCACCTTGAGCCTTGAGTCCTCTAAGATTCCAAATGAAGCCTTGGTACTGTTTGTCCGCACCAGGACATTTTTCCGCATGAAAAGGCTGAATGCTAAGAGCATAACTGAAAGAGGAAGGAGGAAATGGGCAAAAATGAAAATATTAAAAAGCCGAAGTGCAAAAATCTGAGGAATTCCATTCAATCTGTACTACCAATTATCCTCTCGTTTTGTTGTTCCTCTTTGTTTTGATGTTGACTCTCCGTCATATAATTTGACTCCCCTAAAGCCGAATACACACCTCTACGTCGCAAGGGAGAGGCAACTATACATAACACGATGTATAGTACTAACGTGTAAGGCGTTAACATAGGGGAAGGAAGTGCAGCTTGAGCCTCATGCTAACCTGGATTTCCTCTCGTTTATCCTAAGCACAAATAATCGCTAAACAGCGAAATCCTAGGAGTTGTAATGATCTTCTAGCATGCCCGCACCCGCACCCTTCAGCCGAGCTGAAGGGGGGGAGAGGGGGTCCCATCCCCTGCATGGTCTCACTTCACGTACATGCACTTGCCTCCTGTAACTGCGCTCCCTCCTCCGCCACCAAGGCGCGTGAGCCACTCGGGCCTATCTGGTTATTCCATGTATCCCACCTGCATGGCACAGGAGCGCTTACTCCTGGAACGGAAAAACGACGTCGGCGGCGTCGTAACCATTCCGTTTCTCTATCTCCAATTTCTCGAGTCGGCCTCAAGTTCCAGGCCTGCCGTTGCTGAGATTGCTTGGCCTACGCAGGCGATAACGTTATACCGCCCTTGAATCATCACCGTCGACCTATTTTACACCCGGTGTAAGGCATGACGTGAAACGAACTTCAGTTCTTTTGACGAAGTGAACGTTTAAAGGCAAACATATGCTAAAGAAGACGACGGGCGACCACGAGGTGCATGGTGAGAGGTGTTGGCGGGTCTCGGTTGGGCATGCTTCCGTATTCAGTAGGGCTACTTCAATGATCCCTTGCTACATACTCCTTCACTCCGCCAATGCGCACCGCAGTCCTGCTTTAAACTCTATGAATCACTTCGAAAGAAGTCATGTAACGACTCGATTGGGCTCCCTCTGAGAACCTATTGTGCCTGCTGTGTCGGGGCTGTTTTCCTAAGAGTTTGGCCCGAATGCGCAAAACCCCATTTAGGGGAGATAAAGGGGCCTTTAAGCTAAAGAGCTCTTTTTCTCCCATATGAATCCATGCACTCTTAAAGGACCATTAACTAAAGGTGGTTTCAGTATTCGGGCCTTAGTATTTAGAAGAAAGTTGGGCTGAAATCAGGGCCGCCCAGATGGGGGGGGGGGGGCAATAGGGGCAATCTGCCCCGGGCCCCACGTTTAAAGGGGTCCCAAAGGGGGCCTCCAAAGGGCCTCAAGGGGATCCCAAGGGGTCTCTGGTTTAGTTTTGCCCCGGACCCCTGGAACCCTATGGCGGCCCTGGCTGAAATATTGGGGGGGAATCCAATAGTAAAGAATGGTGTCTTGGGGCCATGAGCCCAATAAGTATGGCTTTCAATTGCAACGCGCATGCCCATACTGTTCCTCTGGGTGCGCCATCGCTGCCATCTATTTCTTAGCTCAGTGGCTCTCTCATAGCCATAGTAAGAGGTACACGCAGCGTGGCATGAGGCCATTAACGTTCGGAAACGTGCGCGGCGGGTTGCGATGTGAGTAGCGTGAGCCTGCCAATGAAAGCCCACATACGGCATCGTCCTACGAGGCGACGATTTAAGGTAACGCCTTCATCTTTGGGTTACTCTTCGTCTTCTCGCTAAGCGTCAGGTCCCCGCCCTTCGCAATGACGATTAACGAAGCGCAGGGGCAGACCGAGAAATTAGGGGTGATTTTGCCACGTCCTGCCTCCTGACATGGCCAGCCAGGGGGCGAGGGGGTGGGAGTGTGGCGACCGCCTCTCATGACCAGTGCGCCTTCTGCGCCTTTAAATTCTTCCGTGCTTTTGCACGGGCTACCTACTAGTCATCTTTAAAAGTAGAACAATTCAAGTACACAGCAAAATATCATCGGAAGTGGTTCTGAACCGAAACCGTGAAACGCAACGATCGCCCGACCATAAGGAAGCATAGCATGTAGCACAAGGAACTCATGGGATGATTTGTACGGGTAGATAAAAGCGCACGAGATAGGATCTAGGCGCATGTGCGAGTTCCGGTCGCGAGTGCAAATCAAACATAGTAGCATTCGCCCATGAATGTGTCATGACAATTTAAGCATGCAAAGAAGAGTTGTGCCAGCCCTAAAGACTGCCGGAAATTACAGAGTACCATATATTTCAGATGATCATTAGACATTTAAAAAGGCAGAAACTGCCTTTACTAGGTGAGCCTGATTCAATCTTCTATAATTATAATTATAGAAGAATTGCGAATTGCGAATATAAAACCAATCGACTTGCAACTTGTGTCAAACGATTGAGAAAAACGATCATCAGGAGAGTGTACGAAGTTCAAGATACCTTTACCTAGCTGGACAATTATGGCAGCACGAAGCCAAAAACAGGCAGCATTAAGACAGTCTATCAATTGGCTTTTTTATCGCCCGTTACCTTTCTTTAACCCCTTCTGGCGACAAAATTCAACCGTCTCGTATTCCTCTCTGAGAGTAACAACAGGAATTAAATTTGGCACACTTCTTCCTCTCTCAAAACAGAATCGCTCCAGCAAATTTGAAGCGCCATCTCCTAGGTGTTGCGGTGAACATTGAATCTCGCTTTTGGGAGATGTGAATTTCGTTCCGGTATTTTTTTTTCCACCAACCTGGGTAGCAACTCCTAAGCAGTTTTCGGAGAAAAGTGATCAACCAAATCGAAGATATTGACCTGGAGGTGACAAAAAGTCCCCTCTTTTTGTTTTCAGTGTACAATTTCGCTTTGAATAATGAAATTAGATGCCGTTAATTTAGGTTTACCGCAATGTCTCAGGTCCCGTCCTCCAGTGTTGCCTGATATCATGACGGCGTTGTCACGCTCACGACTTCTTCAGCCTTAATATCGTTGTCTGGATCTTCTCTTTTTAATTTAGGAAAGGTTACTGTGCTGAATTCATGGGATGAGCTGAGGTTGAAGCGGTGGTTTGCAGCGGCCGATGGATTTGGGGAAATACCGAGATATTTCATCGGAAATCCTTAAATTAACATGATGGCGGCCAGTTCGTTTGTCACACGCGCTAAAGGCACTTTAGTGGCCTGGTAGTGGTTTAAAGGCCTGGGCCGAAGACAGTCCGTCGGTTAGGCCTAGGCCTAACGTTTGAGTTCCATAGAAAAAAGGGGGTGGAGGGGGGAGGTGAGAGTGAGGATAAAGTTGAAGAAAGGTAAAACCATTGATATTGGTTTTCACATTTCTATTGGGTTGGAAAGAAAGTCTTGCAAAACTCTGCGCAAATTTTTCAAAATGTAATACCTTTCTTCTTCTTAAGTATTCTGCCTATTGGCAGGTCCTAGGCATCCATCTTCTCCATTCCAATCTGTTCTCCGTCTTTCTCTTCATTTTCACAAACGACCCTTCCTTCAGTTCCTCCAGCATGCCAATTCTTTTCCTTCCTCTAGGTCTTTTCCCTTCCATTCTTCCTTCTATCACTTCCTTCAACAATCCTTCTCCGCGTAGAATGTGTCCAATCCAGTTTTTCTTTCTTCTCGCAATCATTTTCATTAGTCCTCTTTTTTNGGAAGGGGCCAAGTCCGGAGAATACGCTGGATGGGGTAAAACTTCCCAGCGGAGTTCCGAAATCGTCTGGCGAGTCATCTTCGCAACATGTGGACGAGCGTTGTCATGCAGAAGGAGAACTTTGTCGCGTTTGGGACGCTCTTTTTGAACGACGCCAGCCAACTTCTGAAGTCGAGCAGCGTAGACGACGGCAGGTCACGGTGTTACCGGTTGGCAGGAGCTCATAGTACAACATTCCTTCTGAATCCCACCTACAGCAGAGAAGAACATTCTTCTCGTGGAACCCTGGTTTCGGTTCGTGTGGCGGCAATTCTCCTCGTGGAAGCCATTGGCTCTTGCGAGTATGGTCGACGTAGAGGACCCAGCTCTCATCTCCAGTAACGATTTCCTTCAGAAGGTCCTTCAGAAGGAGCAGTGATTCGCAGACACTGACACGGCTTGCTTTGTCAGAGTCGCTGTGCTGATGAGGGACCCGTGTCGAGTAAACCTTCCGATACCCGAGGTCGTTCAGATGGTTGCCGATGGCCATATGGGCGACTCCAAGTGTAGTCGCCGATTCGCGAATGGTGGCGTTCGGCTTCGCGTCGAGGGCGTTCCGCAGGGCTTCGTCATCGACTGTCGATGGACGTCCCGAGCGTGGTCGATCTCCGAAGGTCGTGTCGCCAGATTCCGAGCGTTTCAACCATCGAGACACCGTGGAATAGTGGACGACGTTGCCCTCGAATGCAGCGCAGATGTTGTCCGCGGCGGCTCTCGCAGAGTGTCCTTGGAGGAAGTCGTAGTAGACGATGGAGCGAAGAGTTGCTCGTTCGATCGGAGCCATGGCTGCCAACTAATGGCAGAAGCCGTCTTATATACCCCGAGGGCAGAAGCTTCGAGAACATTCCAGCATATACAAATGCCCATCATTCCTTTGAAAATTTTTATAAATAGATTTAGAAAGTGTTGCAAGACTTTCTTTCCAACCTAATACATGTCATCATTGTACATTCAATCTCATCATCTAATCGATTTTAACGCTTTTTCACTCAGGAAAAAGAGAAGAGGATCTATGATGCTCAAACGTTAAAAATTCAACGCTGACACAACGTCACACCAGTGTATTTTCAACATTTAACCGTTCTCCATCAATGCTTCAACATTGAGGCAACGTTGTTATGTTAAAAATTAACCTTTATTCAATGCTGCCACAACGTTGATGTGCCGAATGGACATCCATCCCGTCTAGGCCTTTTCTATCTCTCTCATTTTCACCCACAATAGATGAAATCCACCGTGATGAAGGGATTCTTCCTCTGGATTTCGATCCTTTCTCTGATCCCCTCGGTGATCGGAAACCAAAATTGCCCAAGTTGGGGGACGCAGGGGGAGAACGCGCCCTGCACCTGCACCGAAACTCCCGATGGCGACGTCACAGTGGATTGCTCGAACGCCACGTCAAGTGAGGAGATCTTGACGGCCTTTAACAATGCATCGTGGGCCTCCACTCAACTCTGGTGAGCGAAAGCACTTTTTCGTAAGGGTTTTTTTCCCCATCATTTTAAGCCGCTTAGATGGGATGCTGAAATTCCATACATCAGGAGTCAGGAGTCAGGAGAGTTAGTGATATCAAGAGGCGATTTCGCCCATTTCGATATCACGTGTCGAGGTCGAGCGTNGAGAGTTAGTGAGGTCGAGCGTTCCTTAATTTTAGGGTAGGACTAACCCTCTTAAAGCTAAATAATTTTGTATTTTTTTAATTACTATTCTAGTTGCTTACTGTCTTGTACCTACGTCAACATTGCCCCACACCTTTTTGCCTGTCCATAAAAGCATCTAATTTCTTCTTAAAGATAGTCACAGAAGGGGCAGCCACTACTTCGTCATCTAAATCAAAATCCAGAACTGAAAGGAACGTCCTTGAGCTTTGCAAGATCTACAGGGTGAGTCAAAAGTCACTGAACGACTTCTGATAGCTATAACTCGGCAAGGAATGCATTAATTTGCAAACAGTTTTTGCATATGAAAGAGCGTGCAATAATTAGCAAATATGTAATGGTGAAAATTAATAATTTGCTGATTCGGCGTAAAAATGACTGCAATTACTGTTATGATATTAAGCACCATCAAGCTAGATAGCGCGAGCAGTCACCGAAGAGCAACTCTAACAATCTTAGTGATGCGTTGCTTCAGTCCAATGATCGTGCGCGAATTTTCGGGATATACCTGGTCTCAATTTCAAAAGCGAAATCTAGTATTGCTGTTCCATGCATGCATAATCCTCGATCGTAGCACTCAAGGCATATCGGTTTCATCGAATGATTTCCTTGACTCCTGTGAATTATAAATCAGCTGAATGCTCCTTGCCAGGCATCCCTTCCAAATGCTCCAACATTACTGAAGGCAGAGAGGTGGAAGTCAGACGGAAGGACTGGTGTTTGATGCCTCTCATCTTGCTTCATCAAAATTAATATTGGTTGGGTATTTTGTTTCTGATTTCTGATTGAAATCATTTCTTGCACGTAAAAGGCAATACCCTTCCTTCTTAAATTTGTGACGTCATGGATCATAGAATTAGAGTACCATCCTAGGTACATATCTGGCATTCCACTGTTTCCTATCCTACCAGAACTATCTTCTTTGTCGCCTACATCTAATTTAAAATACGAAAGCTGTAATTTGTACATAATATGTTTTTGTGAATAGCCAGGCCGTCATTTTGAAGCATGCCAAAGTGATCCACCGATCAAAAATTAACCTTTGAATTGCTTGTTCACTTTGCTTTTAACTTGAAAAAGTTATTGGAATTGAAGCGATGGGTGGAACTCGTTTACACTTTGCATAATTATTTTGATTCACCTAAAATGCCTTGCAAGAAATGCACGAGTATCGCCTGATCTCACATGGAGATATTTCAAAGAATGAAGTGGGATATGATTCTTTCAGACAAGGAGTATAAGTCCCTGTCGATCCTTCACACACGTCGATAATTCCTCCAAACCGAAGCAGCGGATTCAACGAACCACTTTTATTCAAAATCCTTTCTGTCTCTCCATATGGGGCTAATCCCAATTTCACTGCTACGAAGCACTACTGCCAAAATATTTTTGACGATGAGCTACCACATTTTTCCAACATTTGGATCTCTCCCTCCACCTACATCTCGGATTGTCGATTTTACATATAGTTATACCCTATACTCAATGGCTCGACCCTAACATCAGGCAATCAACACCACGCACGTAGAAATTTAAATGTTAAGAATGCGACTCTGGCGGTTTTCGTATTTTTCATGCTCGCGACCACCGTATTGACTGGCTTCGCGTCGCAACTCCTTTCCTTCTGGTAAGATTACCAGGAAATGGAGTCTACGCCGCAAATGTTTTTTTTTCCCAATGAATGTTGAAGAAAAGGAATTAGAACAGTTCAGGGGTCGTAGCGAGGGTTTTAATTATCAATCACCAAATTTAACGAGAACGACGTCCTCATACTTTTGGACTCAGATGAACGAGGTTTCTGGGCCACAAAATATCGAATCTGGACTGGATGGTAGCGGTAGCGGCATGAAGTTTCATTTTCGACATTCAAGAGGCGCCGAATTTCACACGTATCGTTCCGTGTTCCTTCGGGTCGCAGTGAATCAGGTTTCGATACGACAAATCTGCACTCAAATGGATTTCCCGGAATTGCAACTGAGTTATATTATCAATACTTAGATCCCGAAGTGGAGCAGATTTGTTGAATGTTTCAACGTCGTGACAAGACGTCGACTCCTCCTCTTTTCTTTTGCAGGAGTTTCATGCTGAAGGTTAATGGCGAGGTGGAGGAACTTCAAGAAAATGTATTCCGAAACATCTCTTTCGAGAGGATATATATGTCCAGCTATGTCCTCAAGACGATCGATCCATCGGTCTTCCTCCCTTCGAAGGACAGGCTCGTCACACTGGAAATCCAAGCCATATTGGACGAGTTTCCCTTCACTTTTCTTCCTCAACTGCTGCGCCTCAGGAGTTTGGATCTTTGCTTCAACCGCTTGACCTCTACTCCAGCCTTACAAAGTCAAACCCTCGAGGAACTCAGTCTTAAAAGCAATAATATAAGCAGAGTGGAGGAAGACGGATGGGAGACTCCTCATCTGAGGAAGCTCTACTTGAGTAAGTTCTACACATTAGGTGTAATATCTCCTGCCGTGACTTCTGATCGAATCTTAATTTGAAATATCCCATCTCCTTATATTCCCTTTATTTAAATCAGATTTGTAATTTATGAGGGCACCTGCTCATTGTGAGGAAAATTTGGCCTTCTTGCCAACAATGAAAAATTCGAGTCTAGCACCACGTTTTGGTGAAATCGTGGTGGAAGCAACCTTCAAGTATTTCTCTTTTTGGATTCGTAAACTGTACAGGATGTTTAAAAAGCAGAAACTGGTGGAAAGGTCAAGTCGGGTTAAGCCTTTCCAGCTATAAATACAAGACACCATGACTAAGAATACGAGAGGAGCTGTGATCTCATACACGTACCCCTTTTCCTGGCAGCTCCCAAAGCTTGTATTTATATTTAATTCCGTGAGACAATGTCTCATATTGATTTGCAACTAATAACATGCGTAAGAGGAATATAACTTTTGCCTATTTTCATGCCTTCTCTATGTAAAATGTATTTAATTCAATACCAAATAATATTGACTTTGTCATGAAGAAATAATGATTCAACACCAGATATTGTAATTTGGTAACTCAATGGATTTACATCACCTGTTGTTACCGTCACCAACTGATTCTCATCAACAGACCTAATGAATTTTACTTCCAATTCTCATTAAGTATTTTCACCAGATGCATTATTTGGAATATTTCCATATGACATCAACAATGCCCATTCATTTATTGCAAGGAATTTTACGTGAAACAAAATAATCATGCAAAGTGTAAACGAGTTCCATCCAGCGCTTCAATTCCAACAACTTTCAAGTTAAAAGCAAAGTGAACAAGTAATTCAGAGGTTAATTTTTGATGGGTGCATCACTTTGGCATGCTTCTAAATGATGGCTCGGCTATTCACAAAAACCTATTATATAAAAATGACAGCTTTCATTTTTTAAGTTAGATGGGGGTGACAAAGAATATAGTTCTGGTAGTATAGGAACCAGTGGAATGCCAGATCAGTACCTGGGATGGTACTCTAATTAATGCTGTGATCCATGACGTTACAAATTTAACAAGAGAGAGTCTTGCCATTTACGCACAGGAAATGATTTCAATCAGGAATCAGAAACGAAACCACAACAAATATTCATTTTGATGACGCAAGATGAGAGGCATCAAAAACCAGTTCCTTCCCTCTGACTACCGGCTCTCTGCCTTCATTAATGTTGGAGCATTAGGAAGGGATGCCTGGCAAGGAGCATTCAGTTGATCTTTTCTTCACTGTTATTCTCAATACTTCAACTTTGAAAGGTTATTGCATTGGAATCACTTGTTAAGATTTTAAAGGTATATGTCCTGAGGAACTAATTTTTTTTTTTTGGGGGGGGGATGTCCTTGAGTTAATATTTTAGCTTCAGTCAAAAGAGACATGGAAACTGAAAATAGGTATGAACGTGTCTATTGGTATGCTGATCACAGAAAAAAATTATAATTTGTATGCCACCAGATGGTATACTTTTGGGGGGGAAATACGTTTTGCAATAATTTTTTTTAGTTTCAGTGAATTGACCAGAAATATCATAGAAAGTGAAACGTGCCACGAAATTAGCTGTTCCAATGATTAGCTCGAGAAAACTCGACTTAGATGGTCATCCTCTTAAGGCTAAATATTTGATTGGGACCATTTCCCCAAATACATTTGCGTTGCAGCGAGGCGGGCAATAAATAAAAACTATTTGGCAATGAAGTAGTTCTGTGCAGTTTGATTTCAGGAAAAATATTATTTTGAGGTATTTCCTCTTCTTGTACACCTTTGAGGGGAGAGGGCAAGAATTTCTCCGAATTTTGTGCGGAAAGAAAAATTGGAATAGAGAAAAGCCAAGTTCATTGCTCTAGTGGTTCACCACATTCCGATTCCATGACATGCTTTCCTTTCAGGTATCCCAGTAGGGCACAGTTTCCGATAAGGACGCTTTTTCAGATAAATTGTTTAGTTCCATGAAAGTGGGCTACTATTGAAAGAGAGGATTTTTATTTTACATCACCAGAAGTAGCTGGTGGTCACAATAAAAAATGCTTCAGGCTTAAAGGAGTTGCACCACATTAGTACGCGTGAGATTAAAAACGGATGCTTAGAATGCATGATACATTTTCTTAGAACCTTTAGAGACGAAGGCGCCTTTATACCGAGTTTGTTTACTCAAAGGGCAAACGAACTCGGTAGTTTAGAATGGTCTACATTTCCTAGCGTATTACTGAGACGACGAAAAATGTATCTTTCAGCTAACGTGGGCCCTTTTTTGCGTTTCATGATGGGATCTTTTGATCTCTGCTTCAAGCAAAAACCGGCACACATTTTGGAATTGTTTTATGCTCACTAATTTGTTCCTTAGTGCAATTCCACGGTTCTTATTGGGGTTTTGTAGTATTATCCTTTAAACAATTGGGACCAACGTGTGAGAAAGGTTTCTTGATCTTCATTGGAAGGCAATTACCATAGCATTAGCCAATGCGTCGATCTCCGTTGCAGTGATGCAAAATTTAGCCTGGCGTTTGAGTTACAGCTATGAAGCATGTTTAGCTCAAAACCCAGTAAGACCTGACGCTCTCTCATCTCCAGACTTTTTCCTCCTTGTTTCTTGCAGGTGAGAATCCACTGTCCTTGTTCCCCTCGCTAGTCATCAAGAGCTTGAAGAGACTAGAGGAATTCCATTGCTCGGAGTGCAATCTGGGACCCACTCTTTCAAGCGGGCTGATGGAGTTCCGCAGCCAGGCCTTGAGGACCGTCATGCTCTATGGGAATGACATATCAAGAGTGGAGCCGGAAGCCATCACAGGTATGATTCCTCGTGCATCAGTTGCGAAGTGGTAAATAGGGATTACTCCGTAACATATTATAATCCTCCTTTTCTCTGAAATTACTCCCTTGTCTCGCATATTTTTTCAGAGGCTAGGAGGATAGAATAATTTCTCTTTAGCAACAATGCTTTGAGGACGGTATGTCTCAATGATACTGGGATCTCTGGACTAGAACCGTGAGCTACCTCATGTATGATTCCTAACGCACCGGTTGCGTGGGGGTATATGGGAGTTGTTCATTACCACATATAATCTTTCCTTGCTCTTCAGTTACTCCCTTGTCCCGCATAAACAATAGGGTGAGGTGGGGCAAAAGTAACATCGCGCATAAATATGTTAAGTGCTGCTAACGTCGGTATATGAGCAAATTTTTTGGAAAATGCTGGAATAACTGAGCATTGTGCATGAGGCTACTTCCAGGCTTCATAATGTTCCGCATTTACAAAAAAGGAAAATGGGAAGGGGTGCAGGGAAACGTAACTTCATGAAGATCACATAATTGCTGTGAATACCGTTAAAAAATAATGAAACGAGCTAAACACAATTGAAATAAATTCATCATGATGTTCTCGAAATTCACCTCAAGAGAGCACCACATATTTTTCATTCGCTAGAAAACTACGGATAAGAAACCCCAGTGTGATCCCTCTTTGGGTCCAGTACTTAGCACGGTGCAGAGATAGCGCCAGTGTCGTTTCGACCTTGACTCTTGGAATTTGTTCGTGTCAGAGATAAGTTTCGGGTAAATGTAAACTATTCAGTTTTGAGAGCATGTGTGTCTACTAAACTCACATTTGAATCAATCATGAATTATTGTTGGAATACTCTGCTATGTAATTCTGAGCCGTACAAACGAGCAATTTTATATAGGGTGCAAATGAAAGAAAGCGAACTAGATTTTCGAATCAGATCATTCAAATTCATTTGCTACCTAGTAAGAATAAGAAAATGCCCGATTCCCACTTAAAAACGATATGAGTGATCGAGGTAAATCGACATCCACCTGCCATCATAGAGGATATCTCAAGGGCTCGAAATTAAGATGAAAGCTGAAGTTCTTCCTCGGTATCTCTGGCTATATTAAACGGCATCACGGAATTGACAATGAACTGGTCATACTTCCCATCAATCTTTAATTCAATCGCCAAAACGTAGTCTTAAAGCGACTGAAGGCTTAAAATCCGTGAAACGGTTATCCAAACGATCAGAAGTGTGTTTAACTTTTAGGTTGCGTTTCGCCCCTGTCTTTGTTGATATAGGTCATATTTAAAGAGTAGAAAATTGTCAGTTTTTCACCCTTTACAAATGGTTGCTCAAAGGTTACATGCTTCAGGGTGTACGCTTCGCCTCATAACGAGTGCTCCACCACCATCAGGCGTGGGGCACCACCCTCTTCCATTCGTTTACCTTCTCAACTCCTTTCACGGCTTGTACGTTATGCAGTCCTTAGAATTTTAACATTTGCCAAGTGGATACACAACGTTTAGCCTTCTCCGTAGTGATGAATACATCAATAAAACAAATACATGCCTGAGAAAAACTTTTACGCCTTTCTCACAGCACCAACGACGGAAAAGAACTGCTTCAGCTTACCGTGTAGCGGTGGGTGCAAGATGCTTAGATAAATGCGGCGATCCTTGGGTGTGAAGGGAACCATGAAAAAAAAAGTCATTTTTATATTCGGAGAAACAATTGGCATAACATAAAGAGAGAAAATGGTGTTCCACGTGGCTTCATGATGTCAACTGAATGAATAGTACATGTCATGCTCAATTCAAAATTGAAATTTAAAAACTTCGAATTACACATATCGTGATTATTCCAGGCCTAAACACGGATACGTCGATTTCCCTGCAATACAACAAGATCACCGTATTGAATGAAGAGAGCTTTCGCCCTATTCTGGAGGTCCTCTCTCTGGGAAACGGAGTCCTCTCTCTGGGAGAGGGGAGTATCACATACGGAGTCATCACGGACGAAAACGGGAATTCAAAACCGTTTACTAGCTTTCTACTGGGTGAGTTACGGAGATTTTCGCCAGATTTTGCAACCATCCATGTCAATTCTTCATCGTCTGTTATGCAATCGCCGCCCTTTGTTGCATTCCAGGGAATCCCATTCAATGTGATTGTGATGCAGCCTGGCTGATGCACGATCGGACATTCTTAAGTAGCATCACGGGGGAGTGCAAGAATGGCACCAAATTGAAAGATTTGGATTTGGATTCCGTCAAAAGCTGTCGTCGTTTATGCCCTTACAAGTGCGTCGTAGGCCAATTAGTCTATTTTTGCACACCAGGGTCAGTGATTCTCTCAAAAGTCCACGACTGTCGACCCGAGGAGGTGTGTTGCAGGCCATCCATCCCGAAACACACCATACCGTCAAAGGCAAAAGAGCCTGCGAAGCTCCAGTGTCCTGTCGGTTTTTTGTGCGAAGATGCAAACACGGAGACCTCATCTCGCTTGTGCAACTCGTCGTTTGCATGCCCCTCAGCTACACAATCCTGTTGTAGGATCACTCCCGATGCAGGGCAGGAGCAAGCATGCCCAAACACCCATTCGTGTATTCATCTCTCGGTTAGAGACCTGTGTGAACCGGAAACTGGAATTGCAAATACCTCCTGCCACGGAAATCGAATATGTTGCGTGATCAAGACCTTTTCTCGAACCCCTTCTTCCTTCCTACCATGTGATCACAAATGCGTGTCAATGGTAAACATTCCATCCTGTATTCCGGGGACTGTGCAGAATGGAACAGAATGCAGGAAGACAGAGGAATATTGTTGTGAGGTGAAGAATGAATCGAACGGTGGAGTATCAGGACCCTTACCATTGTCAGAGGTCGACTCGAAAGTTCCCCAATGCGAGGACTTGATCGGAAGATGTATGCTTCCTTATGTTTTGTCTGTATGTCGAGCCTTGGGCAACAGGGAGTTCACCGACCTCTTCCGATGCACCCGAAACCGTCGTTGCTGTGCTTTGAAGACGGCCATCGAGAAAAGAGAACTCGAACTGCTCTACAAGGGAGGTATACCTCAACGAATGCATTTTGGTATTAAGAAATACACCATAGCAAAATCAGCCTTGCGGGACTTTGCCTTAATCCAGGCAACTTTACACATTCGACGTACGTCCGCAGCGTGAAACCAAATCCTTAGATTGTACTACAGACATACGTTGGATTTTTCATGCTGCCTTGATAGTGCATTAGTTCCAAAGTATCAGATCGTAAGACGCTTGTTGCTCCATCGAGATGAAAGGGACTGAAGGTGATTTTATTAATTGTCGCAGTCTCAAGTATTTCCTTGGTGTGTTTTTTTAAATACTATGTTTGCCCGATAATAAAATAAGAAATGTTATCAAAATTTATCAAATGGGCAAATGGGAAAATGAAGCTCCAGATATGCCAAAAACATCAGTAATCTCAATAATCATAAATGCAGTATTTTATTCGTAACATTTGGGTTGACCCAAATTAAAGAACCCTTGATAATAATACATATTTGCAATTTCAACATGTATATTTTTGAAAAATAGGAAATCAATAATAACGACTGCAGCGGTAAAATAAATAAATAAAATTTTGCTTTCGTGTTTGAACTGAAATATTTTCATGCGTCCTTATTTATTAGTGGGATGCATAAAACACACCAAAGAAAATTTTAACGGTTGAGTTTTGACTGGAACGCATCTCATGTACAAATTACTATTTAAATATCAATAATAAATGCACCTAAAACCGATTGCTGACCCTTGAAATTGCCAAAGAGGAGGAAGGAATATGGGAACGAAATTTCAGCCCTTTCCAATCATTCCTTCTCCCTTGGGCAGAAACTTTTTGCACGCCCCTCATACCTTGATTTCCGTAGAATACACGAGCGGGGGGGGGGGGTTGGTTTGTGGTGAATTTTACATTTTCTTTGGAATTTTATTGCCTTGGAATTAGTTTTGCCAGCTTCAAAGCTGACAAAAGAAACGTGTTGGATCGACGGGAGGGCTCTCGCTGGCTCAGGCCGACACAAATATTGCTGGGATGCAGTCCTCATTGATGGCAATGGGAGGATCCTCTGTGACGGAGCACTCATCGAGCGCCAATTCGTCTCCACCACTGCCTCCTGCTTGTTCTTAAGGTCGTAGTTTCCTTCATGCTCGCATTACTTCGCTCCTAACTTCCTAGCTGGAATAAGCCGACGAAAATATAACGGATGAGCACTTTCGACCCATCCATGATTTGTGAGTAATATTTTTTCTAGCTTGTTAAGCCGAATTGAAGCAAAACCGTGCATATGTCAGGCGTAACATAATTGAACACTTTCCTCATTTAATAAATTCATAATTTATGATAATTCATTTGAATAACGATACGCGGCGCATTGCAAATGGAATCCTACCATCAAAGCTTCTTTGAAATCCATGAATTTATATAGTTCCACGGTGGCATATTGCATACCAACAACTCAGTCCTGAATTTTCGGGACATATTGTTTTGAATTAATCAATGACCGAAATTTGCTCAAATAGTAATTGCTCGAAGAGAAAATTATTTGGCAGCCTCCAGGACACACATCACCTGACATCTGAAGCACTAACCTGAATAACACACGGATATAGACGTTAAGGATGCTTCTTAACGTCCATACGAAAGAAGAAGATGGAAATTAACGAACTTTTTATGCAGTATACAACATAATATGCTAGTGAACCTTGGGGTTAAAATGTTGCATCAGCTTATGTAAAATCAGTCGTTGAGTGATGTTGCATGCTTCAGCCTAAAAGTATGCATCAATATGATGCGTGCTAAACATCTGAAGTATCTCAATCAGGTAATCTCGTTTAATCTAAGATAATCTTATGAAGTATCTCATTTTTGAGCTTTTGAGAAAAATTCTCAACTGTGCAATTGGGAATTACCTTCGAGGAAAAATAAATAAACCAGAGTTGGTGGTGACGTAGCGCTTCACCTCCATTCCACTATCGCTCGGCAAGTTTTCTCTACATTGCCTCGTTCCATCACCGTCAACGTTTGCAATATTGTTGTAAGCATCGCTACAAGTTTTCTTTCCTAGTTTCCTCAATATATTCGTTGTGGTTGCTTGACTTTCCGGGATGTTTTCTGCACATTATGTGCTTCATAAACTGAGACTCGATTTCTATGCTTTGAGATGATTTGCTAAATTTTCAAATTATCGATCAACTTCAAGGTTTTCATGTTTTGCGATTCATGTGAGGCATTGGCTTAAACGATCAGATATTGAGAAGAAAACGACAATGTGCCTTCTAAAATAAAGGAATGGAATCACGGTCAAGTAAATCCTCCCTATCGTTCATCTGCAGGGTGAACGGAAAAAAGCACACCATCATATATTCATGAGTATCTCGGCGACCATGAGACCAAACTGCCTACAAATTAAAAAAAAAAGGTTCAAATAGCCAGGAAACATGCCTTAAAATATTAGGCGGATCAGTTTGACCTGAACCTTGCCATCGTTTAATGAAATGATCGCGAAATATGACTAAACGGTTTATCACCTTAGTTCAAGCAAAAACTGCAACAATCATTGCAAATAAGGAACAATCAGCGCATTAGTTTATCTTTGGAGACGGTGAGCAAAGTCGTTGACAACTTTCCAAGGAGACATCGAAGCTTGTGGTGACCATTTTGAAAGAAGTGATTCTATTGTGATCTCAAGAGTATAAACTGTCTTTGTTGGTATAAACTGGTTGTAACAATTTGGTCATTTTCAAGAAATTAAATAAATTTTCATTTTCTCCGCGTATTTTTGCCGCATCCTGTATTTACTGATATTTTTGATTGAATAAGGGTATTTTTTAAAGGATTTTGTGAAAAAAAACACTTCAGCGTATTAAATTGAGATGCTGAATACCGTAAATTTACAGAGCAACAGTTGTACTTGCGCGCAAATTTGACGATGGTTACAAAATGAGAAAAACTACAGATCATAGGATACCAACCCGCCTGATTTTTTAAGGAGGGTTTCCTGACTAATAGATCTCTTTTGATCCCATTTTTTTAAAGGCAATTTGGTCTCCTAGTTGCCGAGAAACTCATATACGTCTAATGGTGCCTTTTTTCCCGCGTACCCTGCAAAGCTCATGATAACAGCCGACGTCCTCCTTTCCTCCGTCTTGTCGCACATCAGCTACGAACCGACTTACCGCTAGAGCTCGCTATCAACGCATTCTAAACATTTTATTTTGAATTTGGCATATATGCTACATCACGTTTTAAAGCGTTAAAGTGAGACGAGTCTTAGTTCAATGATAGGGAAGATCTCGCAAAAAGTATGCATACAAGCATTAGGTAGGGGGTTTCCTGATGACGGAATACATGATTTATTATTAATCCAAAGCATGACTTTTTTGAATTCAAACGTTGTCTATTTCAAATCCATGAGACAGTTCTCGCCTAAAATTGTTTTAACAGTAAATTTGTGTGTCGTAATGACTGGAAGCATCCCACATTCTCCATTTGATCCCTGAGAGCTCCAAATTCCTACGGTGCGTCTCGTTTGAATACCATGGGAAAGAACTTCCTGAAAAACATTTTGAAAGTATAAGGTAAAACTTGGGGAAGGTGGGACTGACGCACCCATTTTTATTGACCCAAAAATCTGACTGTTCAAAAATGCATGCAGAGTGCCTCATTTGAATGCTAAGACACATAAGTCCAATAGCCCCAATCAGACGTGAATGTTCCACGGGTTACGTCCAATGATATTTTAAATGGGTTAAAAAAGAGAGCTCCCAGATACAAACGCAGCGTTTGTGCATCCATTTCCATTCGGATCCATTTCGACTGGTCATGACGCTTGCCTGGTAGCTAGGGATTTCAAATAATATAATCATGGGAATGAACGTCATTGGACATTTTAATGAAAGACATTTTAATCTTGTTCATGCTATGCAGAGCATACAAGATTGAGTCACTGTTCGTCAAAATAGCTGGCAGTTCCATTCGACATCCCATTCAAGTATACTTCAAGCATCATGGCTATAATGAAGAAAGTCTAGACATTGACTTGGGGGTGATAATCCTCGAAGAGCCAATAAAGACAGAAGACGGGGGGTGCCTTCTCTGCACTCAGGATCTTGGTGGTCCGAAGGACTTCTCCCAATGCCAACTCATTAGTCACATCAAAGGTTCCGCTTCTTCCCAGTTTATACTTTTAACTTGTGGCTTATGACTTGAAATTAGTATTTCCGAAATTAATTACAAGGCCACAAGTCACATAAAAATCATGTCGTGCTGTTCTTATTTCACAGTTGGTGAAACACGTACAATGGAACCTGCACAGTATGCGGCATCGATTGTGAATTCCAGCATATGTGAGGAAAAAATCACGTATGGCACTCCGCTCCCATTGAATTCCATTTGTGTCTCCTTCGCCTCAGCTTGGTGTGGAGAATCAGGAGCCCCTCTCATCTGCAAGGACTCCATCACCGGCTTCCATCGGGTACCTATTACGAAGAATATTCATCAACCGAAACAAAGAGTGCGATGAGTGAATGGATATATGGGTTTGCAGTTGGTAGGTCACTTATCCATCCCTGAAGGGAGCTGTCAAGATGAATCTATACCTGGGATCTTCGCCGATGCCACTTCCGCCTTATCAGTAACATTCCATCAGACGACCTTCACGGCCAGCCTTTTCTTCTCCTCTACGTCGAATGTTGACTCCAACAAAGGTACTCTAGAATTAAGGTCTACAATAGTTCATATTTCCGTCATTCAATGCAAATTCATGGTGATGTATCTTGGCGGTAGTGTGCACCGTATAGAACTTAAACAGGAATTACAACTTTCTTGATTCCATATATTAAAATTCATTTCTGACGAGAACCTTTGGTGGTTCCATTTGGAGAGAGATCGACCTTGAGAGAAAATAGTTCCTGTGATATTCATGATTCATGATATCAAAGCACATGTCATCTCTATTTTTTCAGCACGCGACCGAATCGGATGCAGGAAAATAGAAGGTATTGAAAAAGGATATTTTAGAATATTATCTTGCCCAGGCAGTGACTTGAGGTGAGAAACTGAGTAGCCAAAAAACTGTTTTTCAGCTATTTCTGAAATTCTTAAAAAGAATGAACGTTTTTATGGTATTTGCTCGTTTCAGGATAACTAATAGCAGTGCAATTGAAGCAGTCGGGGACAAAAACTACACGGAATGCATCGAGAATGGAAAATATGTGACTAGAAGTATTGTGGTCTATAAGTGCAATCAGCATTATATTCTCAGGGGATCACGGATCCGGACCTGCACCGAGAATGGTCAATGGACGGGACACGTACCTTTTTGTGAGCCCGGTCAGTTTGCATCCGTTATTCAGCATATTGGCGACCTGAAATATTTAAGAGTGGCATAGAAGTCTACTCCGGGCAGAATGTGGGAGGAGGGTGCTCCCAGCGGGGTTATCAGCAGGGGGTACGGAATCGGACATTGGAGAATGGCCGTGGCAGGTTGCCATTTATAATACGAAGAAGGAAGAGCTTGTATGCGGCGGGGCTCTGATTCGGGAACAATGGGTTCTGACCGCTGCACATTGCCTTACCATTGGAGGTACCTCAAATGCTGACTTTATATTATATATTGGGAAATACTATCGTAACATTTCCCTGGATGATGAATTCGTGCAAGAGAGAAAGGTAGTCGATGACCTCCTGCATATTCTTCACAGCAATGGATTTCTGCGTGACGTGAGGAAAACTGTATATTTCCAGGTGTCTAAGATCATCCTGCACGAAGATTTCAATGTGCAGAACTTCGACTCAGACATCGCATTAATAAAACTGACGGAGCCGGCAGTGCTGACCAAGCGAGTTCAATTGATTTGCCTCCCAAAGCTAACTTATCTTTCGGAAAGTAACCTACAGAATGGAAGTCGAGGATGGGTAAGGCGTGTATTTTCTCGTCCTCGCATTCCCAAATACTCCGAGTTCTTGTTACATGTTGTTCGATGACAGGTAGCTGCTTGGGGTTTTAATGGTTCGGATATCCTGAGTGCCGTGATGACGGAGGTAGAGATCCCAGTGATATTCAATCAGGATTGTCGTCGGAATATCATCAAATTCACAGGCGACCCAAGTCTCACTCGCACTCTCACCTCGAACATGTTCTGTGCTGGACACGATAAGGACACTCCTCTTGAAGGTATGGCTTGAATACGATGGAACGTTTCCATGGTCTTTCTTATTTCTAGATTACTCCTTCTCGAGAGATTGCACCTGAATCTTTTGATACGCATCGCTTCCTTGCTTTAAAAGATTTCCAACGAGCGCTTTCCATCACAAAATCGTAACCCTCCTCCGGTTTGTCTCTAGTTGGGGAGGGGAGGGGGAATTTTCCTCGTGGACGGAAAGGCATAAGACAATTGTCTGGATTCCATCGTTATTCGTTTCCTGGGAATGTTTTTGCATGAATGTGAGGTGGGGAAAGCAGAAAATGATTCCCTATGAATTTGGGCATATTGCTCATGCAGCAAACGATGCAGAAACGGTTTTCATGGTCGATGTTTGAAGGAAGAAACAGGTGGAGTTGGAGTTTTCTCGTAAATTTCTTGATTTCAAAGCGGTAGGAGCAGCTATTTTATGCGTAAGCGTGTAGGGGATCTCAGTCCTGTAATATCGCGTGGAAGAGAAAATGATTCCAGTCAGGGTGGACCGGAAGATTGAACCGGAAGATTGGGAAACATACTGTATATGTTCTCTAGAAACGATTCCGACAATATTAATATTTCATAAATTATGAACAAATGAATGCACATACATGCGATTTGCAGCAAACGAAAGATTAACATTTCAAGCGCCAATACATATTAAAAATATGACAGGCATTCACTGAGAAGGCAGGCCCTTGACCAGCTATGGCCCAGCACCCACGCCAACCATTGACATGGCCCGTAAGGGCAAACACACTCGCTAGTATATATGTATATGTGTGTGTCTAGAAGAGTAGCTGCAGTGTTGAAATCCAAGGATGGCTAAACTAAATATCAAATGAAGTCCTTTTTTGTCCTTTGAAAGTTGTCATTTTTGCTAGTGAGCGCATGAGCCAAAAATCTTCCGCAATGCATTGCCCAACTTTGAAAATTAATATTTTCCTGATGGGAAGAGCTAGCGACAAGAGTACCATCTCTGCATAGCTTAATACCATGGCTATCATATGACGCAAGATCTGTTCTGATTGTTCGCTTCTAACCGATGTTAGAGCCAAAAGCGTCTCGAAGCTCTAAACATTGCGGCACTTGTTTAGGTCACTGTATACAGTATACGAGGTATATCAACGTTTTATGGCAAGAAAGACCAGCGACTTTCAACCTAAATACCGTCCTTCCCAATGGTTATTTTCGCGAACCTTTCACATTGCATATATGAGTATAGTTCCGATTGATACCTCAAATTTCAACTGTGTTGGGCCGAAGATATTCTGTCAGCAATTATTGAGATGAAGTTAGACATCGAGAATGGACACGAGCTTCTGCTGGTAGTACCTAATCTCCTGCTTTCCCGCCTCCAAAGGACGAGGCTTGAATGCGTCCTCAACTCAACTACCAGTGGGAACGCTTGTCTATTATCAATGTCTAACTTCTGATGAAGAGTAAATTTACCTATGTTAAATGTATGTGGGCACCTCCAAGGACTAGGAAAATTTCTGGCAAATATAGTGGGAAACAGTATTCCCACTAAGCGGAGCTTAGTTTCCCTCTGACAGTATAATTTCCATGCTAATTTGGGAAACACATCTCCAAGTATAATCTACTTTCCTCAAATGTAAGTGCAACTGACTCATGTGCAATGTCTGCAGCTGAGAGATATCTATAAATCTAGAGAATACCTCTTGCTGTTTCCGAACATACCGTAGACACCAATTTACTACTTTTCGTTCGAGGCTTTCACGTCTCCTTGCCCATGTTTATTTAGGTTGGCAACTTACGGCTTGCGAGCCGGATGCGGCCCACGGAGAGATTTAATCCGGCCCGCCACGACCTTGGTCGGGCGGTGCTAAATTTTTCTCAAATGAATCCATGAAACCTGGAATCTCCTAATCACAGCAGCCTCGTTTATCGTTGGAAAGGAGAGAAAATAGTTTCAGTGTTCTGTGCTCTTATTGCCTATTGATGACCTGCAATTGCCTGATAATCGAACAATTACGAACCGTCGCCGAGGTGGCGGGTTTGCAAACGCAGAAGACTTGGTTCGGACTTTAGCCTCGAGAAAAGCTAATCATTCGTCTAGTTGCGCCAGCACGCGCGCCCTCCGTATCGCCTGTCCCTTGTTTATGTTGATGCAATGAGAGGGTGGGACGTCTTAGTCGTGCTGCACTTTTCTTGGCTTTCTGAGGCTGGTGGACTTTTCAATTTCTGCTTTATTGCGAACCTGCCCTTCCACCATGTCGCTGTCAAAATCAGTATTAAAAAAAAGAGAAATGCTGGCTTCAAATGTAGGGGTGTTCAGCGACCAGAGGACACACGATTACCTGTTTGTGCAGTGCAAAGATAAGGCAGTTTGTCTTGCCTGTAAGGAGAGCGTTTCGGTGTTCAAGGAATGCAGCAGTAGGCGGCATTACGAAGCACATCATGAAGGCAAGTATGACTCTCTGAAAGGCCAGATCAGGACTGACAAGACAGAGGCTCTGAAAAAGGCATTGTTTGCTCAGTGGAATACTTTCAAGAAGAGAGTGCAGGAAAGCCTTGCTCCAGTTCCAGCTAGTTATCATGTCATTAAATTATTAGCAGAGGCACAGAGTAATTGTGCCTCTGTGCCTCTGCACAGAGCTCGCACTGAGAGACCAAAATGTAGAGATGGTATCAAATTACCAAAAATTGCCTGTATTACGGTTGAGAAATGTGAGAATCACACATTGTGGTAGCATCAAGTTTTATGAACAGCAACATTGTACCTGATTCTATGATTAAAGTGTGTGTACTGCACATATATTTCAGTTCAAATAAACATAAATGCAAAGAAATCTACATTTGGAAACTTCTGAGAGCACTTAAATCCCCCGTATCTGCACCTCTCAGCACTACATCTCATTTATCGCTCTGCAGCCCGCGACTTGACTGTACTATGACGATCCGGCCCGCCACTACCAAAAGGTTGCCGACCACTGATCTAGGTGATGGGGTTTCCGTCTAGCTTACCAGTCGGTGTGTCCCGGAGATTCGGGCAGTCCAATGGTTTTTCATACCCATGCCTCGCTGGAGAGCCTGTGGCAAGTAGAAGGAATCGTCAGTCACTTTTTCCGCAGGGAGAAATGCTCCATGAGGCGCCCTGGTCAGTATGGCATTTTCACAAAAGTCAATCGGTGAGACCCAAGTATTTCTGCTCGCCGTTTTCTTCTTTATTTAATATCCTAATTTTTCTCGTCATTTATCATTTATTATGGAAACGTGATGTTCTTCGTTTCCCCTTCTCAGGTTCATTCAATGGATCGAGAGGAAAATAGAGAGCGTCCCATGAGATCCCTCAAATTGGCAAACAGTCCGCCATTTATTTTACTATCGACTAATGATGCTGGAAATGGATGAAACGCAGTAATGCGAAGACAGAATATTTATGTACAACTTAGAAATGAAAAGAAACTAGCGGCCTTCTACACGTATATATAATTTTTTCTCACTTCTCATAAACTAAGAACAGTCTTAGCCAGGTTCCCGCTGCCAAAACGTGATCTACAGTTCTCGATGGAACATATATGCATCAAAGAGATGCTGAGACACAGCGTGTTACATCTGCCAACATGCGCAAATTATAACCAAAATTAGTTCAACATGAGTAAAGTATGTAACGATCAGACTGAGGTGATCGTTGTTCCGAGCGATGTTTGAGATTGATAGTGCCCAAAACTGAACAAACTCGTTTCATACGAAAAAAATGCTAGAGATGATTCCCTTAGAGTAAGTCCTTCAATACGTATTAATTTCGTTTTCATCTCTTCATCTTTAAAAAGAATATTCGACAGGATTTCTTAACTCATAAAAAAATTGACCTCGATGACCATGCTGTCAAAACGCTTTTCCTCCGATCAAGATCCTTTCAAGATATTCTTAGAGATTAAATGTGCAAACATAAGCCCCTCATGCCGAGGATTAGGTTTGCGTATTCTCTCAGAATACCTTGATATTTGCACATTTTCCACAATTCTTGCTGCAATTGGTTGCCCTAAAATCTAATGAACGTCATCATTTTCCTTGAGCCGCGCAATCCATTAGAAAAGAAAAGAAGGCCCAATACACGAAGTGAGTGCGAACCGGGACAAACTTCGAATTGATCAGAACATGCCGTACAATCACCGACGTGACAAAATACAGTTCCTCCGACTCCACCCTATTTTTCACTGGACGATACCCAGACGGATGAGACGGGGCGGGACAATGACTCCAGGGATTAGAAAGATCATCCTTTGTAATGCACGGGCATTGTCTAGTACGCAGGACAAGGTGAGACGGAGCCGCATCTCGTCTGGTATTCCCAGTTTCTCACTGCGCAGTGTGTTGTCGCATGTGAGACGGATGCAGGTGTCCCGTCATTTCTCCATTCATCTCCAGGACTAGCGTCATATTCTTTCAACGCGAGGACATCCCAAGCTTCATCAAACGTAATATTTATCATTTATCATTGTTTTTATTCATATTTAGCTCTCCATACCTCTAATAAATATTACTTACCAAAATATTTTAATCATTATTATTATTTCCCCCCATTTTTCATGTCTCTTCTTTTAGCATTATTTTCCTGCCTTAGCTGGATTCAGGAGTTTCACCCTCTTGGGCGTTGCTATCGATACCATTCAGGCACTTAGGTAGCACCTCCTGAGGTTCATTTCCTCATCCTTAGCGTCTGTAATCATTGACCCAACCTAGGCCTCCTTTCCCAATGCGAAAGTTTGCAGGGCTCGACGGAGACTTGGGGAGTGAAAACTCGCTCGCGAGGAACCAGAGATGAATGAAAAGATTTCATTATCATAATCCCACCTATACATCCAGAAAGAAAAAGAATACGGCCATTTCAGTATAAAAACCTTTTTCTATCACAAAACCTTTTCCGTTGGGATTCAGAACCATGGAAAGTATGACTTACAAAGCTACGTTTATGCATCATAAGGCAAGATTCAATTGAAAATGCGAGATTTATTATAATAAATGCTCGAGCATTTTAAAAATTGAGAACTCGCCTGCAGGGAGATGGCGAGAAAAATGCGAATGTGTTTTGTTTGCGCGATTTCGTAACTAGACACTAAGAAACGCTTGCGGGAATCTCTCAGCACGTTCCCACTAATGAATCGGGCAGATACGTCTGCGTTCAATCGTATCGAAGGGTTAACGAGTTGTTTGCTAGATTCCCGATGCGTGAACGTGAAGCAGCCGTTCGTGGCCTCGGCATATTTTCCTATCTTCCCGGAAATCTGTCTCGACGCGAGAACGCCTGAATGTAAGGGGGACGAAGTGGATGGGGGACCGTGCTCGCTCCCAGTCCTTCTTCGGTGCTGTCCTTGGCGACTTGTTTCGACTCTCCCCTCTTCGTTCTCTGAGCCTGCGGCTAAGCCTTTCTCGAAGGCTCACGTACATGAAGTCATGCCCCTGAATCGATATTAAACGATAAATTAGCTCCCCGACTGAACGCCCCGAGAAGGAAAGTGAGGATCTTGCACCTGGGTGGAAATATCAGATTCATCCAAGAGTAAACAGGGTTTAAAAAAAGCGCTATTCCGGTTTGATGCGCATTTCTGTCACGTATATCTTGTTCCTCTGTATATGGGCACCCCTAATAGAAAATGAGGAATGGCTTCCCAGGGACACTGATCCTTCTCTTCTTTTAAAAAGGTCACGCCAAGATATACGTTTTCTCTCCTCCAGGAAAATTAAAAGCTATGCTCTCGTTTAAGCACCTTGATTAACTCTCCAGGGTGGGTCATAAATATTCATACCTCAGATAACTTTTCCATTTTTGCATACCCGAGAAAAGCAAATAAGAAACAATGTGGCACCTATATGTCAGCGTCTATTTGTTGGCAAATCTATGGTGTTTTATACCATAGATGGTATACCATATGTGGCTCCTTGAGTCACAAAGAATGGCGCGCAAAAATTTGTCTAGCTTATCATGTAGCGAAGATTATCAAAACACATTAATGCCCCTCTTACAACTGCAATCGATAGATTACTGCATGTGGAGCCTGTTGGAATTTCCTAAAAGCGAAATCAAGCGACCTGAATTAATTAAGTCTGGTGCTGCAAGAGGATTGAAACCACGTCCGTCCAACGTACTCAACACGTTGCCGATGCCATATGGGTGACTCCAAGTGTAGTCGCCGATTCGCGAGTGGTGGCGTTTCTTCATGTACGTGAGCCTTCGAGAAAGGCTTAGCCGCAGGCTCAGAGAACGAAGAGGGGAGAGTTGCTCGTTCGATCGGAGCCATGGCTGCCACCTAATGGCAGAAGCCGCCTTATATACCCCGAGGGCAGAAGCTTCCAGAACATTCCAGCATATACAAATGCAAAGTCCCGCCCATCATTCCTTTGAAAATTTTTATAAATAGTTTTAGAAAGTTGTATCAAGACTTTCTTTCCAACCCAATAAAATCATTTTGAAACGTCCTGAAAGTGCCCCCCCTGCATATTGAGACATTCCTGAGCGCTTGGGGATTTCATTGATGTACGATTGAACATATCCATTGGTATCGTCTCAATTTCCCCTTCGATGCGTGTCCGTTCCATTCTTCAGGGTGTAGTCGCGGGAAAAATCACGCAATTCTTCGGAATGTGGTGGTTCCCGTACTTGACCTACTTTCTGTGACTTTTCCTACCCTAAATTCGAAGAGGTCGGCTGCAGTGACTGGTGTGTACTGCAAGGAGTTAAATCCTCATGGACCCAAAGCATCGAAAGTGTTGAGGAATTAAATTGGAAAGTTGACCTGCTGATCGGCATCATCAACATGTTTGTTCTTGAGAGTCCGATAAGTCCGCATTTCGCTTTCCGATCGATACGCCACGTGCTCCTGAACCACATGCAAGCGCTCATTCTTGCGACACAATTGTGCCCTTGCCGCTCACTTCGACATTCCAGACCCTATATAGTCGTCCAAATGCCTCGTTCACGAAATAACCAGAAATACAATCGTCTAGGTAACACAAGGAGAGCCAAGATTGATCGCAATGTACTCTCGGAATGGTTCGGCTGCCCATATCGATCATTGTAGGAAAAAAAAAAGTTGTTTGCAGCTGCACCCATGTTTTCTGTCAAACGAATCGTCCGTAACGATGACCGCAACGTGCTCATTTTGAATCTAGTATTGACGATTTGACCGCGAGATATTTCGCGGACGACTGGCAACACTTGGCAAAAAGTCTCCACCGAACATAATTACGTTCTCACTGAATCGGTCATCGTCCACCGAGTTTTGCAACGCCCGTTCGATCGTTGCCAACACTTCAGAGGGCCATATCGGCGCTTTATCCAAATTATGATGTCGGTAGCTTGACCATCATCGCTTGATTATTGCGCGATGAACGACACGTTTCATGTGTGAGCAGTTCAAATGCCAAGTCGAAGACCGCGTGACGCTTCACACCATCTGCCAGCGAAATTGTAGAAATACCAATCGACACGCAACACTCAAACCATTCTCTCCTCTTCCATGTAATATGAGAATTAGGGTGGTGTAAATGAATTTTTTGCCTGTTCCACCTGCCCCATCGATGAAGAAACACCGATGCAATTCCTCTTCCAAATGTTCATGTGCTGCTGCATTTGACCCGCTTCATCCGCATGGCAAACGTAGAGTTATCCACGGAAACGACATTATCGGATAGTTGTAGGCTTGTCATGGCCAAATTACGATGACCCTGCCGGATATTTTGAAGCAGGAGGGACCGTCACTGGTAACTATCGTTGGACCAAAAGAAAGCGAATGTGTTGGTGCTGTTGTACAGCCTGATGAACTTGCGAAAAAATGGGAGCGTTTGCATCTCCGGAACCCAGCAAGTCGACCCCAGCATATATTGTGACAAATTGATGCAATCCCTAAGTCACATCTCTCCCGTCTTGCCTTTTCCCCATCAGATTAAATCTACCATGATGACCAAATCGTACACCTTCCTCTGCGCTTCCATCCTTTCGCTCATCCCATCGGTGATAGGACACCAATACTGCCCAGACTGGAAGAAGATTATAAACAAAGATTACACTCAGCAAGCGGCGCAGAGGCCAGTGGTGCAGAGGGAGCCATGTAGATGCACCAAATCCCCCGATGGCGACGTGACTGTGGATTGCTCCAAAGCCAGGACAGGTTGGGAGATCAGGGAGGCCTTCCATGATGCCTCCTGGCCCTCCACTCAACTTTGGTGAGCGAAAACTTTCTCTTTAAAGTATTTTATCATCATATTTAGTCACCCGGATATAATTTCACAATTCCTCATTTCTCTTTAGAGGGGAAGATATAGAAATGAGAAAGTCGGACAGTCATCCCGGCTATTCCGGCTATTTTAAAAAAAAATCAACCGACAAATATTTTAACGAAATTAATTTAAAAGATGCAAACATCTGTGACACTTAATTGAACCGTCTGGAACGTCCTCACTGCCCTGCAACTGCTCGACTGAGGAAACATCAAATTCCAGGCCTGAAATGAGCGTCTTTAAGCATTGCAATACCCAATGCTCATTTCAATACCCATTCCAAAAACTGTCTTCGCATTTCCTTTTATTGTGTCGACAAAAAAACTCACTTGATCTGAGTATGATCCGAGTCACCCCATGTATCCTGAACATTAAAATCGCTTTGTCGGATCGTTCCTGTCCCAAAGGCGAAATCTAGTAAAGTTCCTCAAAGTACGTACAATTCTCAATCATGCTCCATACCTCATTACTATAAGAATTCGATACTCATTAGATGATTTCCCTTCTTTCTGGATTGCTCGCATCTACCACGCATATACCTGTGCACGTGTGCAACACAGAAGAGGTTGGTATCTCGTATGGGTCATGCCAATCAATTCTCATAGACAATCTTGGCATGAGAAGGGTTGCAGCCAACTGTGTGCCGAGATTGCTCAGTGGCGATCAAAAGAACCATCGCCAAGAAGTCTGTGCTAAGCTCATACAAAGAGCTGAAAACGACAGAAACTTCATCAACGCCATCATCACTGGTGATGAAACATGGGTCTACGGTTATGAACCCGATATCAAGGCGCAATCCTCTCAGTGGAAGACAGCAAATTCGCCTCGATCGAAAAAAGCTCGCCAGGTTCGTTCGAATGTAAAAATAATGTTGATTGTTTTCTTTGACATTCAAGGCTTGATGCATCATGAGAGTGTTCCGCGAGGCCAGACAGTTAACCAGGCTTACAACAAAGATTTTTTGACCCGTCTGCGAGAAAAAATTAGGAGAGAACGACCCCAACTTTTCCAAAATGAAGCCTTGTTTTTGCATCACGACAATACTCCAGCTCACGCTGCTCTCACAATTCCAGAGGTTTTGGCTAAGAAAAAATTCCTGTGTTGCCCCACCCTCCCTATTCACCGGACCCGGCCCCATATGACTTTTTCCTGTTCCCCAAGATTAAATTTCACCTGAAAGGAAAAAGATTTGAAGACATTGCATAAAGGAAAATGCGACAAGGCAGCTTAAGATCCTCACTCCAGGACTTCCAGCACTGCTTCCAGAAGTTGCAGGAGCGTTGGAATAAATGCATAGCATCGAGGGGGGAATACTTAGAAGGGGGGGCAACAATTGAATTTAAAGTACTTATTAAAAATTAATTTTACAAGTAAAAGTACTGGAACTTTTTGATCAAACCTCGTACGTAAAAGGCACATAGTCTCTTCCGTCTTGCTTTCTAGCGGTGAAGTATGGGACTACGACGGCAGAGTACCTTCTTAGACGTTTAACCAAAAGGGTTCAAAGGGTTTTTTTTGCTTGACAAATTCATACGTGAAAGGGTTAATCTTTTTTTTTTCTATGAATGAGTACGCCAAAATTAGTACGGAAGTGCTAATAAATATTCAGAGGGGGTAACGTACCTGAATTGATATGTGTATTGAAGTTCATGGCATGCAATTAGAACATTTAATGAAATAAAGGTAAGTAGTGAAATCTGTCGGAGTCCGGACGTCTCATACACCCTGTAAAGCCCTGTTACAATGCGTATTGTCCGATTTCGAACATATTTGTTCAAAGTGTCGAAATTATGATTGGACAAGCTTCCTTCTCCTTTTTTCTCGTTGCAGGAGATTCGAGATGAGGTCGAACACTGACGTGGATGTATTCCCAGAAAATGCATTCCAAAGCATCTCCTTCGAGAGCATATACATGTATGGCACGGTCGTGAAAGCGATCGATCCATCGGCCGTCCTTGCTTCGAAGGACAAGCTCGTTAGACTGGAAATCCTATTCAGCCGATTGGAGGGGTTTCCCGTCGAAATTCTTCCACAACTTCCAGGTCTCAGGGATCTGGATCTCTCCAACAATCGCTTGACCTCTGTCCCAGCCCTTCAAAGCCAAAGCCTCGAAGAACTCTATCTTCAGTCGAATAATATTAGCAGATTGGAGGAAGCTGGATGGGTGACTCCCAAATTGAGGATGTTCTTCTTATGTGAGTACTATACATCAGATGTAAAATTTCGTACAGTGACACCTGATCGATTCCTCATCTGAAATCACCTCTCTCCTCATATTCTCCTTTTAAAGAAATGTCAGACATGTGACCTCAAACGTCTTTTATTCTCTGCAACGAAAACATTACTATTTCCTGGTTGATCTGATATCGAGAAATGATGAAGTGATGTCAATGTGTCTAGTACAACGTTTTCATGGAATTATTGAAGCAACCATTCCAGTATTTCCTTTCTTTCTGAATTCGTAAGGTAGATACGATGTGGGAAATAAATTGGGGAAAGCAATCCGACCAGAACTTTCCAAATGGAAACAGAAGTCATATCACTAAGTCGACTAAGACACAAGCCAAGTCGTGAGAAGGTAACATATCGGCTGTCGGAAAATATTACCTTTGCAAAAAAAAGTTATTGTATTCAACTTCGTGAACTCTACTATCTCTGTTAACTACCTTTTCATTTTGACTCCCAGTAAAATATAAATATGGCAATATTTCATGCAATGAGAATATTTCTTTACGAAATTCAATTGTCAACCAATGGAATATGCACAAGGGAAACAGAATCCTACTGGATGTTGTACATAGATAGTCCCCCCTCCACAGCCGAAACTGTAAGAGCTAGGAAAAAAAACTAATATATCATGAGAAAGAGCATTAACCTTTGAATCGAAATATCTACTTCTAGTGATTTGTGTGCACCTTGGCTGTGTCTCTGACAGCTTTAAGACGAGTGGAGTGAGGTGAAAAGAGACGCTTAAAGTGTTCCATGTCATCTTTCATGTCATTCAACACTTTGGTGGTGTTGCTTTGCAAAGCTTCTAAGGAGAAGTTGTTGCTTGCCCTCCATATGCATGAGAGCATCAACTCGATCTTTCAGGATAACCCCAATGTTCTCAGCCACATTCAGATCAGGTGAATTTCTCGGCAATTCCGCATTTCCAAAGAAATCAAACCCTGTGTCTTTCAGCATTTACTGTGTGGTCAAAGCTTTGGAAAATAATGCTTCATCAGGCAGAAGCTGAACGTTTAATATTTTCCAAAACCCATAAATGTGTAAAGAATTCAGCTCTGGCATCACACGCTCCTCGAAACGTTATAGCACGGATGTCATCAATGAATTTAAGTTATTCATCATCATATGACATCAAAAGCAACAAAATGAGATTGAGTAAAAGCAAAATTGAACGAGGATTCCAAAATATATATATTAAAATATACTACTTCCTATAGTTTAGGCTGTGGAGGGGGGCGGCTACCTATGTGCAGCACCAGGGTACAATATGTGTATCTTCTGATAAATAGTAAATACCATCATCCAGTAAATGCGACATTTGAGGGAACAAAACACTCTATTTCAAATTTTCTAAAGCAACATGGATTTTATAGCATGCAAATTCAATAATGAAACTAAGCGGTGGGGTTTCCCCGAGTAGGAAAAGATTATCACCTGGAACCCTGAGCCCCATTCGAGCCAGAGCGACACATGGCCGTTCTCTAATTGAATTAGTAAGAGGGGAATGAGCGAGACGGGAGCCAAAAAGGGCTAGACTGCCTTAGAGCTCTGGGTCTGTTTGGGCGAATCCTTTCTGCTTGTCTGGCCTCCACTGCTTGATTTTTGTATCGAAGGGTATGTGTCTGATCCCGCTTAGATAATCTCATAGGTGAATATAAAAAGTGGTAACTAGGGTCTTCTTCCCTCAGCTTCCCTATTAGCTACTGCCTTTCCCCATTCGAAGTATCACAGAATAATTTCCTCCTATCATGAAACAGCTTTCCAGTAACTAGGAAAATAAGTCGTACGTGTCCGTAAGCCTATGAATTACCAGCTTCAATGAAGAACTACCAACTTCGCTGCATTAAAAATTATGTTTGCCAACAGCAATGCTAGCAGACGGCACACTCAATTCTCTTTGATTCCAACTTCTAATATGTATATACGTGAATTGAACGTGAGATATTTTCAATGTGCTACCAAAGGGTCCGCTGAAGGGACACAAGGGACATGAATGCGATGATGACTTTTCTAAACTAAGGAGTCGATCTCCCAGCAGATCTTTTAGTAGCTGGGAGGATAGGATCCTACTGATACCTCTACGTTTTCAGGAGAATCCTTGGACTAGGCTACCTCGTAAGTCCGATTTGTTGAAGAATTCAAATGTATTCCTCTGTGCTGTCTGTGTGGGGGGGGGGGGATATCACTCACCGCAATGAAAGTATTGGAGGCTAATTCCAGCTGTATGAGGTATTGACTCGCTAAAGCGTTTACTTTGGTGTCATCTAGCGTCAGTAGTGTGAACCTCTCTTTATATATTATTTCTGTTTGATGGATAGCACTGACATGCTCAAGAAAAAACGCCTATTTAACGTTCAACCAACGTCATGTATTGGTGATCAAATAGCACCTACATTGAACGTCCAAAAGCTGTTCATCCCTGAAACTTGAACGTCAAAGAACTTCTTAGAGCCGGGTGGAACGTACTCCTGAACGTTACTTGGACTGAGGACGCTGCAGCGACGTCTGTTACTGTAATGGATTCCTCGATTCAAATTTAAAATAATTATGAATGGCCGAATTACAATAAACGACGCTTTCATTTCCTGACTGTCAGGTTTAGCCCAAATGCCAGGAGGAACAACAACTGTTTCACTCGCATCTTCGATTCTTCCCCTCGTATTTCATGCAGATGGAAATCCGCTGTCCGTCTTCCCCTCGGCAGTCATTAAGAGTTTGGAGAGACTAGAGGAATTTAGGTGCGGGGAATGCAATCTGGGACCTATCCTTTCAAGTGGGCTGATAGAGTTCCGCAGCCAATCCTTGAAGGCGGTCTCGTTCAGTGGGAATGGTATATCAAGAGTGGAGCCGGGAGCCATCGCAGGTATGATTCCTAGTTCCCTAATTTTGCAGAGATAAATGAGAATTACTCTATTGGCACTGTAATCTTCCCTAGCTTTAAAATTAATGCCTTGTCCAACATATTTTTTGAGGTGCTTGGATGACGTGACAATTTCCCTTTAGAGCTGTTTTTCGTATGCAATCTTTTTTTCTCTAGGAAAGTTATCTTTGAATTGGTCTTGGTGTTTTAGAAGTGGCGGTTAAAACCCTTACATGATTAGCTTTTCTTATCGCAAGCTCTTCAATTAGTGGGAAGCATGACACAACCCGGCACTTTCATTGATTCTAATACCGTTTACAAAGAACATCCGTGCAGTTTATAACTACTTCTACAGACCCCGTGGTACGTACTCATATTAAGCATCAGAATTTTTGAACCCCTGACATTGCTTTTCAAATAAATTATATGCAATGAATGACGCTCTAAGTCAAAGCAGAATTATGGAGGGTACTAGAAAAAAAATGCATGCACCTGATTAGACTTACTTTGTATCACAGCAGCAGCTTGTGAATTTGGCGTTTCTGTGAATGCGGATGTCCGAGACGTTTGCGATCATAAATTCAATTGTCGATTGCTTAATTGTTTACCATAAAACTAAGATGCACGTCGAACTACATTGTCGAATAGAGTGGGAAACTATTTGGAAATAAAGCAAAACCGGACCTATCCCTGAGCTCTCATGGGATGGGTTATAATATAGATGTCAGGCACACATACCACGAGACAATGCGCCTGTAAATTAAAGTTTCAAGATCCAATTGCATGGAACTTCTTAGTTGGCTTAGAGAGAGTGACATTTATCGCACAATAAAATATCAATATTCGACATGTTTATAACTTTCCCAGCGAAACAATTTAGTCGGTATTCTTAACGCATGCATGTACGTACATTTCGGAAGATTCCGACTAAAGAATGGAGTTGTATTCCTTCGAAGGAAAATATGGCTGTCACGAAGTGGAATGTTGCTCTCATGTATGTCATATCTCGATGTTCATAAGTTGAAAGACTTTAGATTTAGATTTATTACAGGTACGAACACTTACATTTGACATACAGTGACCCAAACAAGTGGCGTGATGTATGGAGCTTTGAGACTTTTGATTTTAACATAGGCTAGAAGCGAACAATCAGAACAGTTCTTGCGTCATATCGTAGCGGTGGTCTTGAGCTTTGCATAGATGGTTTTCTCGAGTAGCTAGCTCTTCCCATCAGGAAAATATTAACTTTCAAAGTTGGGAATGCATTGCGCCAGTTTTTTGGCTCATGCACTCACTAGCAAAAACGGCAACTTTAATAGGACTAAAGGGACATCATTTGAAATTTAGTTTAGCCATCCTTGGATTTCAACACTGCAACAACTCTTTTAGGCATACTTTTCATCAGATCAACACTAATTTCCTTAGGAATCTTGGACCATTCTGGTTCTACTCGTTATGTAGATACTTCTGGGGTCAGTTTCGTACGATCCAAGCAGTCGTTTCCGGAGTGACCATAGGTTTCGATACGGAAAAGGTCAGGAGACTGCGCAGGTCAGTGCAGCACGACCATATTGTTGCCTTCGAACCATTGGCGAGCCTTGCGAGATGTGTTCTTGGGATCACTGTCTAGCTGGGAGATGAAGTCATCCTGTCCCATCTCGAAATAATCGACTGTAGCGAAAACGTAATAGTCTTCGATGCTGGTGTACGATCAGGTTTCTACTGCCAAACTTGACTTCTGAGTTTGAGTGCCTGTAGCAGGTGCTTTCCTCTGGCAAATGCACCGTCGGACCCCAGACGATTAATCTCGGTTTCTTCGGAGAAAATCACGCGGAACCGATCGCGTATCTTCCAATTCTGGTACTTGCGAACGAATTCCAAGCGCTGCTCATGTTTCGACTCAACAGAACCTATGCATGCTGAAGTCAGATTGTCATTTTCGCTTGTCAAACTTTGCAGTTTCACTAGCGTTTTCTATTGTGAATATATCAATGAAAGCAGAAAAACCATTTGAACCTTGTGACCGCAGCAACCATTGAACGCCAATTGCCTCGCCATATCGTAGAATGACACGCGTACGATTTTTAGTTGAATGCGAGTAACATGGTGTGAAGGAAACTATGAAAAAAAAACTATATTCGAAGAAATGGATGGTAGGCTATAAAAGCAAAGACAGGAAATTATGGTGTTCCTCTTGGTTTCATCACGTCAGCCGCAATAGTTCTATAAGCCAGGCCCAGTTGAAGTTGTGAAGTTTAACGATTTCCATTGGTTTATATTACAGGCCTAACACCTAATACATCGGTTTCCCTACAAGCCAACGAGATTGCCATATTGCATGAAGAGAGCTTTCGCCCGATTCTGGAGGTCCTCTCAAAGGGAAATGGGGTTCTTTCTCTGGGAGAAGGAATGCTCACAACCGGAGTCATCACTCACGAACTGGGAGGTTTAACCTCTTCTGCCGTCTATGTAAGGGGTGAGTTTCAGGACTTTCCTCTCGATAATGGAACCTTCCGTGCCGATACCACTTCGTCTGCTTCGTTCCAATCTTTGCCCTTTTTGCTCTCCAGGAAATCCCATCCAGTGCGATTGCGATGCAGTCTGGTTAGGGCTCGATCGGACATTCCTAAGAAGCATTACAGGAGAATGCAGGAATGGTACGTTATTGAAGGATTGGAATTTGGATTCCGTTAAGGACTGTCGTCGTCTATGTCCGTACGAGTGCGTTGGAGGCAAACTAGTCTCTCGCTGCACACCGGAGTCTGTGATTCGATCGAAAGTGCACAACTGCCAACCCAAGGAGGTGTGTTGTAGGCTATCCACCCGAACACACACCATGACTTCAACGGCAAACCAGCCTGCGAATCTCCAGTGTCCTGCCAGTTTCTCGTGCGAAAATGCAAAGATGGTGGCCTCATCTCGTTTCTGCAACTCGTCGTTTGCATGCCCCTCAGCTACACAAATCTGTTGTAAGATCTCCCCTGATGGAGGGCAAGAGAAAGCATGCCCATCCACCCATTCTTGTATTCAACTCCCGGCTGGAGACCTGTGTGAACCGGGAACTGGAATTTCAAATACCACCTGCCACGAAAATCAAATATGTTGTATCGCCAAAACCCTTGCTCAGACCCCTTCTTCCTTCCTACCCTGTGATCACGAATGCATCCCATTGGTAAACATACCATCCTGCATTCCGGGGACTGTGAAGGACGGAACAGAATGCAGGGAGAGAGGGGAATATTGCTGTCAAGTGAAGAATGAATCGAACGGGGGAGAATCAGGACCCTTACCATTGTCAGAACTCGACTCGAAACCGGAAGTGCCCAAATGCGAGGCCTCTGTCGGAAGATGCATGCTTCCTTATGTTTTGTCTGCATGTCGAGCCTCGGGCAATAAGGAGTTTACCGACCTCTTCCGATGTTCCAGAAACCATCGTTGCTGTGCTTTGAAGACGGCCATCGAGAAAAGAGAACTCGAACTGCTCTTCAAAGGAGGTATTTCTCAACGAACTTTTTCTGCGATTGAGATATGAGAGCAAATTCAGGCTGCGCGTCTTCGCATTATCGGTCTTGAATTCCGAGTTATGTGATCGAAAGCCGCTGTTGCTTCATCGTGATGGTTCATGTTAACCCCCGCAGTCTCGCGTAATTTGTTAGGATCGGGCTTTCACAGTTGTTGCCTGATAATGAAGTGAGAACAGGCAAATTTTCCAACGTTTTCCAGCTGGTTAATGATAAAGAATTGGAGCTCCATACTGGCTAGAAATGTCAGTAATCTTAATTATCATACGGGTAATATCTAATTGATTATATTCATATAAAAAATAGCTGATTCATATCGTAAAGAATTTCCGAAATTTCCTCCACGAGGTCAGCGAAAGAAGCTAAAATGTCAAGAGTGATCATTTTGTAACCCTTTGACAAGTATGCCCGTATATATACGGGCTGACATCCTCCTGTCCTCCATGCATTCACTATGGGTGATCTTCAGGGCGGTAACAAAACCCACTTCTCAAAGAGTTAAAATAGTAAGTTACACTTTCTCAGCATTAAGAATGTGATATTGTCATATGTCGATCTGTAATGCCACAATTATGAAAATTTGAGAACATGGGAAAATAGTTTCATGCGTTTCTTATGTCACATACAAATAAGGGTAATCTAATGAAGGTTTCTCAAGTTCAAAACACCCTTTCATTAAGGGATTATATTTATAGATGAGATCTACGCAGCATGCTTCGTAAACAAGCAGGATCCAGAACGATATTTCATTTAAGACTTATATTTCGATAAGCTCCAAGGAGTATTTCAAAACATTTTTTTTTCCCGTTGGTGAATTTGACTTTTTCATTTGAAAATGTTTGCTTTGGAATCAGTTTTGCCTGCATCCAGGCTGACGAAAGAAACGTGCTGGATCGAAGATAGGGTTCGCACCGACTCAGGCCAGCAAAAATATTGCTGGGATGCAGTCCTTGTGGACGCAAGTGACAAGATCCTCTGTAGTGGAGCATTCATCGAGCGTCAATTCGTCTCCACCACTGCCTCCTGCTTCTTCTACAACTCGTAGCTTCCATATATATTCGTATTTATTGGCTCCAAACTACGAGGCTGCAATAAGCCAGCGTAAATGTCACTGATGGAATGCGCCATTGCGAATTTACTTCAAGAAAAAGGAAAATAAAACTAGCGTTATCAGTGGCGCATGTCCGTACGTCTATTGCCTTGTTGCCTGGCAAATTATTTGGTGAATGTCTTCATTTCATATCCTTCAACGTTTGCTAACTTGTTATCATAATTATGAAATTACGTTCCTAGTTTCATTGACATATTCGTTACGGGCGCTTGCTTTCATGGATTAGGACGCTTAACCGTCCTTCCCATGTTCTCGTTTTCTGGTTGTTAGGAAAGTCGCATGCCTATCGTGCTCTTTTTAAACAAGATTCGATTTCAATGTTTCGAGCTCATGTACCAATATTCAAAATCTGCATTCAACTTCTTCGGCTTTGCTTTTTTAGTAAGCACTGAAAATGAAGTGTGGGTTTCACCCTCATCGTACGGACGATGAAGCTGAAACCTGGAAAATAAACTACTGGTAGCATGGACATCGAAAATTGTGAGAAACAACCATCGGCAACGTGTGGTTCACTAAACGCACAGGGTGTCGTGGGTAGATTTATGTTCATGAAAGGCTGGAAGAGTGGAGTATGAAGTTGGTGGACTTGCCACAAAATGACACAGTATACAAGTGCAACATCGATCTAACTAGAGTTGCTGATTGATGACGCTCCATGCTGAGCGATTACGGCTTCTAGGCGGGGAAGGACATTCTTAACTACAGCAAAAAGCAATTTTTGTGATCACAGGAATAACTTTTATAGTTCGCAAACAATATGAGATACGAATAGGGCGCTTCTGGTGCCATCCATTGACACTTTTTTTCTCAGATTCGAGAAGCCCATGCTGCCAACAGTTTACATGGCATGAATTAGCTTCTCCCATTTAATGGTTTGTGTTGTACATGACAATTTATCGGTAAACTTTTCGAATATGTCAACATGTACATCCTCGCTCTCATCCAAGGTATAAAGAACGATCGAAGAGCGCTCTGAAATACAAACCCAGGATGCATTAGAGAAAATCCACTTCGGTTTGTCATGATTAACGCCTAGTAGTTAGGGGCTGAAGGTAACCTAACCATAAAATAATTATGTTTAATTGGTCAACCCACAAAGACGCTTTAATGTCGTTCATTTCCTCCAGAGCATACTCGATTGAGTCGCTGTCCATCCGGATAGCCGGGAATTCCACTCAACATCGCATTCAAAAAAATTTCCAACATCGTGGATTTAGCCCAGAAACCCTAGACATTGATTTGGGGGTGATAATCCTCGAGGAGCCATTAAAGACAGATGAAGGGGGATGTCTTCTCTGCACTCAGGATCTCGGCGGTCCGAAGGACTTCTCGCAATGCCAGCTCATTAGTCACATCAAAGGTTCTGCTTCTTCCCACTCTATATTTTTAACTTGCAGCTTGTGACTTGAAATTAGTATTTAACCGAAATAATTTAAAGTCATAAGCCACATAAAAATCGTGTCGTGCTCTTCTTTTTTCACAGAGGGGGGAGTACGTACGATGGAACCTGCACAGTATATAGCATTGGTTGTGAATTCCAGCATATGCGTGGAAAAAATCACGTATGGCACTCCCCTCCCATTAAATTCTATTTGCGTCTCCTTCGCCTCAACTTGGTGTGGAGAATCAGGAGCCCCTCTCATCTGCAAAGACTCCATCACCGGTTTCCATCAGGTATCTATTACGAAGAAACATCATCATCCGAGACTCAGCGATGAATGAAGGGATATATGGGTTTGCAGTTGGTAGGTCACTTATCCATCCCTGATGGGAGCTGTCAAGATGAATCTATACCTGGGGTCTTCGCCGATGCCACTTCCGCCTTATCAGTAACATTCCATCAGACGACCTTCACCGCCAGCCTTTTCTTCTCCAGAAACACCTGTACGTTGAATGTTGACTACGACAATGGTACTCCATAATTAAGGTCTACAATAGCTTATAAGCCAGTCACTCTGCAATATCATCATGATAATTGTCTTTCCCGATGGGCTTAAAACGTGCAGGAATTCGTAAAAAATGTTCTTGCAACCTTTACATTTCTCATTTGGCGAAACGCTGTGTAAAAAAATTGCAAAACCTTTCAAATGGAACACAAGACTTCCATGCATATATCTTGAAACATACGTTATATTATGAAATAAAGTTTTCCGAATTAAAACTTCGCACAGCGACCCTTTTTTCAACCCCACCCGGTATAATTTGAAAAATACCCAACAAGCATGCATATCTGGACAACGTACCACCAACGGGACAGAACCCCGGAAACTTGGATTTCGTTTATAAACATTCCCCATGTTATTGAAAAAAGGGGGGAATAGATGCATGAAAGCATACATGACCTCTATTTCTTCCAGCACGTGACCTCATCGGATGCAGACAGCTAGAAGGAATTGAAAAAGGTCATTTTAGAATATTATCTTGCCCAGACATTCACTTGAGGTGAGGAATAGTTGAACCAAAAATAGTGCCTTTCAGCGACTTCTTTCTATAAATCTTGAAAATAATGAAAGTCTTCATTTTAATTGGTCGTTTCAGGATAGGTAACAGCAGTGCAATAGATGAAGTCGGGGGAAGAAACTACACGGAATGCGTCGAACATGGGAAATATGTGATTGGAAGCATTGTGACCTATGCGTGCAATCAGCATTATATTCTCAGGGGATCACGGATCCGGACCTGCACCGAGAATGGTCAATGGACGGGACACGTTCCATTTTGTGAGCCCGGTCAGTTTCCATTTGTTCTCCAGTATTCTGGTGATCTGAAGTATTTCAGAATGCTATTATATATAGAAGTCTATTCCGGACAGAATGTGGGAGAAGGGTGCAGCCAGTGGCGTTGTCAGCAGGGGGTACGCCATCTGACATAGGAGAATGGCCGTGGCAGGTTGCCATTTATGATACGAAGAGGGCAGAGCTCATATGCGGCGGGGCTCTGATTCGGGAACAATGGGTCCTGACCGCAGCACATTGCCTGACCGTCGCAGGTACCTCAAGAATTGGAAGCCGGAATGACTTCCTTTTCTATCTCGGGAAACACCATCGGAACAATTCCCTGGATGATGAATTCGTGCAAGAGAAAAAGGTGGATGAAAAATTATTGCGTATTCTTCGCACCAATGCCTTTTTGCGGAACGTGACATGAACACTCTTTTCAGGCATCTAAGATCATCCTGCAGGAAGATTTCAGCTTACAGAACTTCGACTCTGACATTGCCATTGTGAAACTGATGGAGCCCGCAGTGCTGACCAAGCGAGTCCAATTGATATGTCTCCCAACCCTACATGATCTCTCGGAGAGAAATCTCCAGAATGGAAGTCGAGGATGGGTAAGGCGTGGACTTTTCCCCCACTTTTTTCCACATTCTCAAGTACTTTGAGTTATTATTGCGTTGGTCGATGACAGGTAGCAGCTTGGGGCTTTAATGGTTCTGATATCCTGAGTCACGTGCTGACGGAGGTGGAGATCCCGGTGAAATCCAATCCCGATTGTCGTCGGGACACCATGGATTTCACGCACGACCCAAGTCTTACTCGCACTCTCACCTCGAATATGTTCTGTGCTGGACACGATAAGGACACTCCTCTCGAAGGTATGACTTAGATGTGAGAGAACGTTTCCATGCCCTTAGTTACTTTCCAGAATACTCTGCAATGGGACATAGTATCTGAATCATAAAATCCATCCACAGTATTGTATATCGATTTCGAAATGAGTGCTCTTCACGCTTCTCAATCTTATTTTTCTTCTGGAAGCATTTCTCAAGTGTAGCCTATTCCTCATGTATGAGGAATATGCTACTTTTATATTAAGGATAGACCAGAAACTATTAAGTACTGGTTTCCTCAAGAGCAGTTTCCACTACCCACCTTGCATTAGAGAGAAAATGATCAATATCTTAAGCTACAAGTCATTCCTCGTCTCCAAACTCGGACATTTTAAAGTTCAGGATCATCAATATACGGTACACCATTATTACACCTTCATACTCGGGCAAGTCGAATCAAAGAAAATAAACCCATCCATCCGTCCTTCCAGAGTTGAAATAACCTAAGACCGTATGTACTCGCTTTGGAAAATTCCTCATCTGGCATCTCCGCAAATGAGGGATTCTATAAATGAAGACTCCTTTCGCCGTTTACAAAAATAGAGCCATGTCCCTCGAGTCTGTCACAGCTCGTTGTCCGCGTTGATCGAAGTGATGGGGTTTCCGTCTAGCTTACCAGTCTGTGTGTCCCGGGGATTCGGGCAGTCCGATGGTCTTTCATACGCACGCCTCGCTGGAGAGTCGGTGGCAGGTGGAAGGCATCGTCAGTCACTTTTTCAGCAGGGAGGCATGCTCCATGAGGCGCCCTGGACAGTATGGTATTTTCACAAAAGTCAATCGGTGAGACTCAATACTTCATCCAGCCATTTTATTTCTTATTTAGTTTTCTAACTCTTCTCGTCAGTCATGATGGGAAAATGATGTTCTTTTTTGTTTCCCTTTCTCAGGTTCATTCAATGGATCGAGAGAAAAATAGAGAATGTCCCATGAGAGCCCTCACATTGCCTACTAGTCCGCCATTTACCTTACAATATACCAGTAATATGGAAAACGGACATAAACTGCAATTGAAAGCCAGAAAATGTTATGCATCACTTAGGAATATAAAAATATCTATTCCACAGTTCCATTTAGCGAATGCTTCTTTTAAATCCTATTTTGATCAGAAATCTGACCTTAGACGAGGGGGTAAAACACTATTTGCTGATTTACTTTCTGTTATGTTATGTTCTTAGAAAACTAAAGAACTAAGATCCTTAGTTTTCAAAGTTAATCGGACCGATAGTATCAATTATGTATTTAGTTTTTGCTTGATTCGGGTGCCACAATGGGTGTAAAAAATATCAGGATTTTCCTTGGAAATCATTAAACTCCTCTTGAAAGAGCAGCATCTGCCATACATGTTCGAATGGGCAAGGCCTTGAGCTAAGATGTCTGTCATGAACTGAGAAAAGGATAAGCCTAATTGCAAATGAGTCCGATCGTAGAATAGAATCAACACCTAATCCGTGTTGATGAGAGTGCGGATGCACGTTCATTCATTTTCTAACAGATACATAAGATTCGTAAAACAGGTAGGAGAAAATAGCGGCGCAAAGTTTACTGCAGACCAGAAATGAATCTGAGCTCCAAATCGGACCAGAAAATGATGTTTCATGGGACGAGTCGTTTTGGAGATTCTTGAGAGAGACGGAACGTTGCCCGACCTCCCGGAAGAGGTGAGATCGAAGATGGCCCTAATTGGGGGAGTATTAGACTAAAATGAAGGCGCACAGTTTCAAAATTTAAACCACCGGTTATGGTGGAATCTAGGCTATAAATCTTGTCAGAAAATGATTTTTTGTCAAGCGTGTTATTTTTTAGATGTAGGGGCGAAAAGGACGGCGTCTGATGGAAAGGGAGGTGCATGATAGAGGCATGGATTATCCTTTGCGTACGTTTATCTCATTTGAATATGGTCAAAAAGCCCCAACAAATTATACCATTGGCTAGGGCAGAATTCACGGCCGATCAGGAAGCGCTAGCGTCGTCTGCTCCTGAGCGGAACTTGGACTCCATATAGGACGCGTCTTTTCCGGTTATGGAATCGTATCCAGCTTCCCATAACGCTACATACGTACTAGGATGTTCGGCACGATTACGTTTCCCTGGCACCTGCTTGCCAAGAGTGACGTTATATAACGAGGCGGTCGTGTCAAGCGCTGATGGAAAGAGGTTTGGCTACAAGCGGCCGGAGGGAAAGACATCCCCATCATGTCCCCCACTGTCCTCACGTCTATTTCCCAACTTCGACAGAGTGAGGTTCCTATCCATTCCGTTCTCTCAGTTTATCGCGCCCGAAACTAATTACCAAAGCGAAAAAAAATGTAGCTACCGTTGTTTGTCCAGTTCATCTTCCTGAATTCGCTCATACAAATGTAAACTCCTCCTCGACCAGGAGTGCACAATTCAAAGGACTGTGAGGGCCATTTGCGAGATTTCCTTACACCCAGGGCCGTACGGCCACCAGACATGGCCACCCTCCATGAGGCTGGCTGAACAAAGTTGGGACCAAAAGGTCAGAAGCATTAGTATGACTTACAACGCCGTCAGTCATGGAGGGCCGCGGGCAAAGTGCGGGCCACATGCACCCGTGTCCTTGACTGATCAGAATTCCGTGAGATTGGGTCCTCACGTATTTTTTTTATTTTTCCTTGTTCGGCTCTCGATGTTGCTGTAATAGCTCAAGTGGGCTTTTTTTCGCTAATCATTCTATTTAAAACATCACGAATGCACCCACGAATACGCCCATACATCACTATTCCGGTATTTCCTCATTTCCTAGTGCAATTCTTGTACTTGTACAGTCCCTTCGGAAAGAAAAGTTGGACTCACACATTAAGTAAGCAGTACTGCCTCGAAATTAAGCGAAGTATTGGGAACGATGCAAATGCGGAAGTAACAGCTAGGAGCTCCTCCGACGAACGAGAGACAGAACCTCTGCCCGCCGCAACCCGACTCCACGCAAGGAGTGATGTCCCCCATACGCACGGTCTTAGTGAGAGGGTGGCTCGTCGAGGAGATTGTCTTCTCGTCGGGGAGGCTGTCCTCCACGATCCTCCCTCCTTCGCGGGTGCGGTGCAGTCACTCGCGAGATGGAAGCTGATATCGTGTGAATTTTCCATCGGCCTTCAAGAGGAGGTTCCTTTCGTTCGTCGCGAGGAAGACTGCAGGGGCTTCAAGAGTGAGAATCATTCTTTCCTTCCGCCTTTTGTGTATTAATAAGTCAGCTGACGGCTGTAGAGTGAAGTTTCTCTGCCAAAGTCCTACGAGCCAATCCGAAAAGAAAATGGATAGGGCTCATATCGGCATGGAAGCTTCTCTCCACGTAGCAAAACTCATGGCTCGGTACGTCTCTCGTCGTCAGAGATAAGAAGATGTCAGGCGTATTTTAAGTATTTCTGCAAGATGGAACCGGATTTCATGATTTCAGGTCGGCAGGGCACTAGCATTTTACGAATAATGAAGTTGTCTACGAGGGAGACATCTCGAGAAGCATTTCAATCTTGGCAAAATTTTAAAGCACGTATGACACATGACGTGACACGTGCAGCGTTCCTCTCCCCTCGAGTCCCGGACGGAATCTCGAAACCCAGAATCTCGAAGAACGACAATCTCGAAGAACGACAATCTCGAAGAACGACAATCTCGAAGAACGACAATCTCGAAGAACGACAATCTCGAAAGACGGAATCTCGACCTACAGGGTGGGCACAAAATCCCTTTGCGGCGAAATCACAGCACATCCGTATGTTGCCCTCGGTTCTCAGCACATCGTTTGAACCGTGTCCCCATGTTTCTCTTAAACATTCTCCTCCACGTTGAAGGCTGAATATCATGAAAGCAGTCCCCGATGGCGGTTTGTAGGTCCTCAACATTTGTTAACAGCAATTGGGAAATGTTCTCCTTCACAATACTCCAGTGACTTATCGCTTGTTTTCAAGTCTGGGCTTCGAGGTGGCCAAGTCATATCAGACCCTCGTCCAATCACATCGAAAGTCGCACGAAATCCCTTTGCATGAAAAACAATGTTCTCTAACGATATGTTATTTTCTTCAATTTTGCACATTATGCTCTCGCAGTTTGAGAATATCTTAATTGCACATTCAGTGGATGATGGATTGGACGGGGGTCTGACATGGCATGGCCACCTCAAAGCTCAGACATGGAAACAAGCGATAATTCGCTTTGGAGTATTGTGGCACTGTGAAGGAAAACATTTCCCAACTGCGGTTAACAAATGTTGAGGACCTACAAACTGCCATCGGGGACTGCTTTCATGATATTCAGCCTTCAACGTGGAGGAGAATGGTCGAGAAAGCATGGGCACGGATCAAAGAATGTGCTGAGAACGAAGGGCAACATACGGATGTGCTGAAATTCCCCTCCAAAAGGACTTCGTGCCCACCCTCTACTCATTCTCAAATTGAAACATTTCAACTCATAATCTCTTCTAGGCCTCGACCCATCTCAAAGTATACGGTCCTATTGCTTCCAGGCGAATCTCGTTCGTAAATATCCCCGCTTAGAACGAGCTCTTCGTTGCCTTCGTGACTTTTCACGAATTCGGCCATGACCTTCAACTGATGGAAATGTCCTGACTGACTGAGGTGAGGCGTCTGCACGCTATTACAGGAGCAAAGATGCGGAGATGACTTCAGCCACACAAGTCGACGGCGGGTTAAGGATGAACGGAGATTAGAAAGAGGAACTGGCAGGTGTCACTCGAAGTGACATGAATAGCCACAATCCATTATCATCCATCATCCATCATTCATCCATCCTCCGTATACACAAAACGCTAATCTGTCCGTCATTCCCTGGACGCTCCTCCCAAACGGATGAACGGATTTAAATAATTGAGGTGTCAGTCTAAAGCTCATGACCTGGAGGCGATATCTATTGGGTCAAAAGTCTAAATAGTACGATGCGAACGTGGTTTCCACGGGTTCTCCTGTCTTTCTGCGCGTCGGAGGCCTGCACCGGTTCACTTTTCCGGGTTGAAACTGGATCGGCCCGATCGGAATCGTGGCCCGCACCGTACCCGGAACGCGATCGTCGACGAAACTTTTCCTGCTCCGAGCCAAGGATCGTGTTGTGCCGACATGGCTTGCCCGCATCCCGCTCTAGCCTCTAAGCTTGAGAACTCCAGGCCCCCGTTGACGTATTTGCCCCAAGGGGAGACGAAGGGACCCTCGCAGATCTGCGCAGAAACGCATGTTCGGGAGGAACGGTTCGGGATGAAGGGCATTCTGTGCAAGCAGACAAGGCGGCGAAGCGTGCCTTTGCATGGGAAACCGTGCAAGACAAATATACTGGGAAATCTGAAGTTCGTGTAAATTTCCCTATATCCCGAAAAAACACCTATTACTTAGGGACGGGTTGCGTAAAATCGACGCCCGGCCATCTCTCATCCAAAGGCAAACACATCCTATATATTAAAAGCGTAATGAAGCTGCGTGCGTATGAAGCCTCCGATGCTTGGCCCTGTGTGTGTATGTCCGCATGTCCAAGTGCGCATGTGCGGCTCCTTCTGCCTGCCTCCGAGTGTACGTCTCCCTCTCTCGGGCGAGCACTTTTTTTCGGCCGTTGCGACTGTCCGGTCTATTCACGAGAACGTAATTGAGCGAGGGGGAATTGGAGTTCAGATGGCATTAGAGGGCTAAAAAACGATTTTGAGCAGACAGTAATCGAATCCTAAGCCTTTTGATTACCAATCAAGTGCGTTACCACTACACTATGGAACCCAAGTCCTACCATTCTTCTTTCTGTGTCATCCCTAACACTACAACGGGAGAGAGAGGCACTTCACGCCCCCCCCCCCCCCCCCCCCCCTCCGATATGGACTTTTCCGCCGAAATGTGTCAAATGTCCCCGCGTATTACACTCGGAATCCCCCTTCATCCCTGGAGGAGGGATGACTTCCTCGCTGGGATGAGATCGAAGCCCATATGCTGGGTGAGACAAAAAAAAGTTTTTTTTGTAAGCCTTGGGCCTTAATTGTATCGCATGTCATTAATTTTTTTTTTAAATAACGATCTCAACGTGTCCCGTAACCTTCCTGAAAGTTTCGTTCATTTATCTCTAGCCGTTTTTCCAAATGAATTATTTCACTGCAGTAACTCAACTCAACTTTTTTGCGGGCGGGAGAGCCACGGGAGGGAGGAGGTTCATGCCCGTTATCCACACCAATTTCGCGTCAGTTCTCCTTGGTCTATCGGTGAAGATGGTACTCTCTGCGAAAGACGGAGCTGTTACTACTGCCTGCTAGCTTGAGAAAGGATGGGGTGGAGCCAGAATTGTGAGGGAATTTCCTGGGAAAAGTTGGAAGAAACGCACCGTTAACAGATTGATCCATGGGCTGAGGATACCGGTTCCTCGTTCCTCCCGGAAAGGGGGCGGTAGATCAAAATCAGCTCAAGTTGAGGGAAACTGTGCTGTTGTGAAGGAAGCCATTGCCTCTTAAGAAGGGCATCCAGGAACGCATAAATCACAGAGGGAAATCGCCAGAGTCGGTCAACCCCTTTTTTAATAGGAACCACGTCCTACCCGCACTAACGCTACCAGCGGCGGACATTACGAATAAACCTTACATACCGAAATACATAGACTCAAGGTCTATAGGAAACAGCTAATAGGAGCCCGCGGAGCCGAAAGGTGCGCCAACATACTGGGTCATGCAAGTCTGAGCTTCGAACTAGTAATGGGCGGAGTGGCCGTAGTGCTTCAGTCGTGGTGGTGGCTGATGTGTACACCCCACAGTATCTGGGTCCAAATGGTCTATGTACTCCCGTGAACCGAAGTCCGCAAGGATATGGTAGGCCGTATACCGTCAGATGCAACTCGATTGGCGTAGTTGTTCCTTAAAAAAAAAAAACTCCGATTTTTAATGTTGCCCTGTATTGTGAAATTTTGTCGCCGCTGTCTCCTAGGAAACCGAATTCTTGATTAGATGATATGAAAACTTTATTTGCCATTTTAAAAATATTGTAAAAATTAGTTTGCAAGCAACGCTGCAACGGGCAGTCTAGCGTCCATTTAAGTTCGAAAATTCTGTCGCTTTAGTAATCCAACGAGTCGGAGCTCACTGGATATTGTAACAAAGAGGAAATGGGGATTCTCTCCAGACGGGAACCATCTTCCCGCCCTCCATCTGATCGCCGAGAGTCCCAAATTCATTCTGTGCGCCTCAGTTTAAAAGTATCGGTGTCATTTGAAACCTGGTGGCGATAGCTATTGGGTCAAAAAAGTTCTACCATTTTGACGTCATGCGCTCTAAGAAAATTCCGAGCGTTTGGGGAGAAAAAAGTGAGCACACTGCGAACTTTTCAAATGTACTCTCTTATTACTGACCAAATGCTCCCTCATCGCTCGTATTGAAGTGAACATCTTGAAGTTCTTCGCCACGCCGCTAGATGGAGATAAGAGTCTCGCTTCTCGCAAAGTACGCGAAAATTTCCCTTTCTTCTTCTCTGGAATCGTCCCTCGCAGGATTGTTTTGTACCTCGACGTATGTCTCGCCTAGTTTCATTATGGGAATCAATAAACACGGACTTTCCCTCATTTGTTATCCACATATTCAAGACAGATTCATAGAGCCCAGGCCAGAAGCAAGCTCATGTTCCTTATGAGAAACCTTTTGAAAGTATGAAGGGTTTTATCCGCAGAAGAGATCTAGATTGCATAGGGGACATCCGTGTAAGTCAATCCTATCACTTTCTCGACTTGATGAGAGAATGAGGAAATGAAGGACTGACATCGCGGACACTTCATGGGACCGTAATTGGTGGTCCATCATCTGACACGTACTGTAATCAGTACAGCCAAAGGTAGGTCAATACCTGTACTGTAGAGAGCGAAAGCGAGAGGATTTGCGTATTTGCATGACATCCCTATCTCTCTAATGGGAGCGTGTTTACTCATGGAGGAGGAGAGCAATATTACTCTTTGGTGATGGAGCAAATTCGCTCCTTTCCTAGAGTGAAAGGGGGATGAAACTGGAGTTAGCGATTTTACCCTCTTTTTTGAGAAAAATCGCTCCCTTTTTGTCTGTGGAGCCTAATTTCAGCGACAAGAGTAGCATTGCACCGAATGCCTTCCCGGGCTGTGTGCTCACAAACCAACAACGAGAAGCATCGTCCGCAACGGAAGCTGTTGCTATGGTAACTGCTGACAACGATCATATGCCATAGTTTATCGCGCTGCCAGTCCCGTCGCCGGTTTAAGACAGTGCTTCGCGTTAGTTTGCAGCATCGAGTTACTGCTCCGATATTATTATTTACATTTTGGTGCTCTCAAAATGCCCGGAAANCCCCCCCCGGCCCCCCAATTATGAAGTTTTATCGGCGGTGACGTGAGACCACTCATCGGAACAACTTCTTCGTGCATAATAATGGGCGCATTCGAAGCATTTGGTGAGTAATAAGATAGTACATTCGAAAAGCTCACGGTGTGCTCACTTTTTACTCCCCAAACGCTCGGAATTTTCTAAGAGTGTACGTAGTCACGGAAATTGCTCATATTTTGAGTCAGACCTCATGTACCAGGGAAATGCATCGGTACTAGGTGCCGCATTTGTAAACCTAAATATATAAGCATCTGAATGTAAACATGTATCGATATTATAAGTATCTAAATATCTAAACAATGACTAAACTTACTAGTTTACAGCGAAGAGTACCATCTGGAATTTAAACAAGTGTTCCTCGCGGTTATTCATGAGCGGTAAAACAGCTAGATATGAAAGAGTCATTTGTTAGTTAATTTTAGTGGGGCGCATTCGGCCCGCGGGCGGCACTTTGAATAACGCTGGTTTACGTGATGTCGGCATGGGATCCTTTCATCATGGGATCCTTTATCGCACGAAAGGCACGACTGCCGTGCCGCAGAATGTATCTTTCCATGGTTTGAAAGTACAATTGCCGTACCGCAACTTTTTGGGGAAATTTCTGTCATTACGTCAATAATGGTTTCACTGTCAACAATTTCTTTTTAGAACTGTTGTACTACTCAGCTGAAGAGCGTTCATGAGCTTCGCATAATAATAATAAAAATCCGGCTGCCTGCGCTTACACTGGGAGATTTAGAACACCCTATCTCCCGTCATCGTCGTCCTCTTCGATGGGGGCTCACCACGTTTTCAACGAGATATGAGAATCACTGAAGATGAGGTGATCCGTGGAAGACTGGGGATCATCCCTCTCCCACCCTCCCTCCTTCCCTCCATCCCTCTCCCACCCTCCCTCCTTCCCTCCATCCCTCCCTCCCTCCTCCCTTGAGACCCTCATGGAAAGCAGATACTGAGAAATTTAAGAACAGTCGGCGATTATGTTCCCGACGGTTGAAATTCGTGTTACAGATTTAGAATGACAATGAATTAAGAACCTTACGGTATCGTCAATTCCGTCAATGAAGCCGTAACTTCACTTCGTTGTTACCGTGGTACTCGTAATAACTGAATCCGACATGAATGCTTTATAAAATGCACGCACCTCATGGGCTCTGGTCCGGGAACAGACATTCTTCTTCGCTGTAGCATAGGTCTTGCAATCGGAGGTCGTCGTGACCGAGTTCGACTGTAACTCGAACATATTTCCCACTTCGCGAAGTCGAACGTGTACATTTAAGTAATAACATCTACAGAAAATATTGTTTCTCTTCGCAGGAAATTCAAGATGGACCAGAACACAAACGTGGTAGAGCTCCCAGAAGGAGCATTACAAAACGTCTCCTTCGAGAGGATGAACATCCGCAACAGCGCCGTGAAGACGATCCATCCGTCGGCCCTCCTCTCTTCCGCAGAGACGCTATCCGTGCTGGAAATCTTCTCCTGTCACATGGAGAGTTTTCCCTTCGACGTCCTCCCCCGGCTGACCAAACTCAGGGCTCTCATCCTCCCGCTCAATCGCTTCGCGTCCGTCCCGCCCCTTCGGAGCGGAAGCCTCGAGGAACTCTTTCTCATGTGGAATAAAATTATGAGGTTGGAGAAAGACGGATGGGCGACTCCTAAATTGAGAAAACTCGTATTAGGTGAGTATTCAACATCTCGTGCAACGTGCGCATATTCCATGTTATCTATACGTAGGCTCACGATTTTTTAACGCCATCTGCTTCTCTGAAACCACGAAAGGGTCGCCTTCTTGGCCACAACGGTAACCACGAGTCAGCCGAGTACTAGCCTACTCGTGGAAGACTTCCACGTACTCTTCGGCAAGAAATCCCGAGTTCATTCGGCGGCCCTAAAACTCGGTGGCCTTATCATCGCTATAGGCCGCGGCAGCTCTTTCCCATTATTTACGTGTCCCCACGTAAAATTCTTCTAATCTCCTTTCATCCCGCTGAAGGGAGGATGACTTCCTCGCCGGAGTGAGATCTTCGCCCGCGACATTTATCGCACTCTTCCCTATTGATTGCAACCTTGTCCGCTTCGTCCGTAAAGACCGTCTCCATCACTTCGCGTGCAAGCCTATGAGTGAAATATATACGGATATGGATACGGGATGGAAACGACCCAGCCAGCGGCATCTTTGCGATCCAAGAATAAGCCATCCTGTTCTGTCCCACCCTGATCGGATCCCGCGCTTTCACCCATATATTATCCGACGAATGTGAGGTTAACCCATGCTTACATTTTCACGCAGGGGCCCAGGCTAAGCATGTAGCTTCGTCGGGCATTCAGGAGTTTAGACGACGGCTCTCTCAACGCTCCGCGTAGCAACCGCTCTGACATTATAGTATTGCGCACCCCCACCCCATCCCCCCTACTCACGGGGGTATTCGTGCCTACGAAACGACTTTTCCGGATCCCGAGAAATATACGGGCGGAGATCTCATCCCCGGCGAGAAAGTAATCCTTCCTCAAGGTATACAAGGAGACGAACAAGTGCGATGCGCGGGGACTTGTACACGTCCCTGCGAAGAATTCCGTATCGGAGGTGTTCACACCCGGAGGGGGAACGGCGGAGGCATGCGTAGAATGTCGTCCTCTCTCGTGTTCCCATGGGGTAATTTTTTGGAGGGGCGATGTTTAAAAACTTTTTTTTTCGTGGCGAATTGGACTCCTAAACTTAGCTGTGAAATATAAGACCGCTTCTCCCTCTGATGTTTTTCGGAGAAGGTAAGGTATGACACGCACTGTGGAATCAACTCATTCTTTACATTTTGAAATCTTGAATCCATACACAGCGAATCGGGCAGAAATAGGAAAGTTGCAGCCGGCGTACGCATAACGGACGTGATGTTGATTTAAGGAAAAATTCAACTTTTGTTCAGAGCACAGCTTTTGGGTTTCCAAATACAGTTATTCCGCCAGCAAAAAGGGGAAACGTATAAGGGTGAAACTGGGTGGCATGGAGTTCCTTGAGTCTACATCTCAGAAGAAAAAAAAACCATTTCGTTAAAATGCATCAGGACACAAGTACCTATTTGATGGCCGAATACAGGAAAAATCCTACTTTTGAAATATATCCCCTTAGCGTAGATTATAGGAGGGAAGTATTTCAAAATGCATTCTCCACCCTTCCCAAAAGGGACACATGAGAAGATTTCAAGTTAGACACACTAGAAATAATAGAAGTAATGATTTTGATTTAAAAAAATGAGGACTTTAGTCCCCATATGTCATGTATTTCAATGGGGACGTACTTTACGTGTTTCCCATTTCGCAAAGAATAAATGAATTAATCACTATCCGGAGTATTGGAGCGCCGTAGGCGCGACCATAGGGAGGTTTTTATATACATAGTTTGTTCATATCCTATGGTATATCTTTAGTTGAAACACGATCTCATCTTCATGAAGCGCACAAGAAAAATGCAACAGGCCCAGAAGCCATGAGCTCTCTGCAACGGTACCCGAGATGGTTCCCGTGGGATCGGGTTCCCATACCCAAGGATACGGTGCCAGATGCCAGAGGACTTATTCGCATCTAAATCGATTTAAATTGTCCTTGAACTACCTATCACCCGAAAAGCAACAAACTGACATTCTATTTCTCTTTTACAATTAGGAAGACTTCTTTTATTTTATAAGTTATGATACATTTTATCTCATGAAATCTTCCCTCAATTAAATATTCGACCAACCCTTTTCCAGGATCGGATATTCTGATAAATTTCCCCATTCCCTTGGCAGGCGATGGCGCCTTCCACATTCATATCCAACAGGTGAGCCTTGCCAGTAACACCTCCCGCTTTGCACGGAAATCAGAGGGAGAGAGATCCCTATCATGATTCTTATACGATCGCGATTCGTATACCTATCATGATACCCTATCATGATAGGTATAAGAATCGCTTCAATCTATTATGATCCAGAGCTTGTTAATTCTGCTTATAACGATCTACCTGGATGGATTGAAGTGCATTTTATAAACCAAATTAATTATGTGAACCGTCACAGCTTGTGCTGAGCGCAGTTACTCTAAGATAGATTAAATTCCGTATAATTCTTTGAATCAAGCCACGGCAGTCGGAATTGAAGAACTAGTCCGGTGAACGTGGTCAGATTAATACCGTTAAATCATCACACAACACTCTGGTCAGTCATGTGAGCAAATACACATGGCATTGTTCCTGGGCGGGAGATGATGGATAGGAGGTTGTAAGCAGGAAGATTCACGAATACCTATGAAGATACCTATCATAATAGGGCTCACAATGGATACCTATTATTTGTTCTTGCATACGGAACTGAGCAAATAATAGACCTATCGCCTGATATTTATCATGATAGCTACCATGTAATAGGCTATCATGTGATAGGTTCTTGCATGTGGGCCATTCTCTCCCTCGTGTTCCATACAGATGGAAACCCATTCTCGGAGTTCCCTTCGGACGTCATCAGTGGATTGGAGAGACTGGAGGAGTTCTCTTGCGCGGAATGCAACTTGGGACCGAGCCTTCCGAGCGGGTTCCTCAATTTCCGCAGCGAGACCTTGAAGGTGGTGAATCTCGCTTGGAATAAAATTGCCAGGTTGGAGTCTGGAGCCATCACAGGTAGGATTCCCAGTCTCTGTCCAGGCGCTTTTCCCTTCGGATCGCGGATGCGAGTTTCCCCAAAATGTCTGTCGGACCAGATTTGTAATATCCTAGCCCGGAATTCGAAGATATAGGGATGACTACGGCACATCCTACGTCCTAAAGTATTCCCCATTTCGCGTACCGCTGCGACTTTGAAATATAAGCGTTGCCCGTGTTTTCATATTAAAATCAAAGAGCATGAGGTCTCAAATATCAACAGGTTCTGAGATAATCTTTATCCTGATCGGCGTTTGAAATGATATTAAAATTCGAGATTAACGGATAATCATTCTCTCAAACATCCCAGTTCTGCTTCTTGTTCTTTTCGTTCAATCGGCCAATAGCTCTTTATTGCAATGACAACTTTTTCTTATTGTAACTAAGTTCAAAATTGTTCACGGAATTATAATCTGCAACAGCAACCGTGGCATATTTTTAGGGGAATTTCGGAAAAAAAGCTGGCATTAATGTGCTAGGTGATGCTATGATCCAATGAAGTCCGAATTAAACACCAAGAATATAAATTTGAAGCGACACCGATCACTCCTTTTGTAATATAGAATAGGCATCTTCTTTAAGTAATAATAATCACCCAGTGGAAGTGGAAATTGATTCGCGGAATGAAGCACTAGAGTTTACACAAGACAATAAATATATATCACTCAATGAAGGCAGAGTAAAATGTTCAAATATGCAAGGCAGGATAAACGCGATTAAGTTCATTTTCTACTATGTTCCGTGGATGTTCCGTGGATGAGATGAGGCAGTTCAAGAAACGAAAACGCGGGCCCTGGTAACGCCTACACTTTTTTCACCCCCACTCCGAATCGCATTATGGGAGTGGTCCGTCTTGCAAGCGCACATCACTGCCATCGAACGCATTAGTGTCAGCATACGCTAGAATGTAGCGTTCCGGTGAAGATAATGTTCAGCTGAACTCACAACGACTCTCAGCGTGAAAGGAACGATTCAGATATTCATATTAATTTAATTTTCAGTGCTACATGACTCATAGTTGAGATGCAATTAGATTAAACCTAGGCGATGTTGGCTCATCATATCAAGTCAATCACAAACCGGTGCACAGTTCTTCCGTATCGTTTTGCAGTTTGGAGTGGAAAGCGTAAGGAGTCTTGTGTTCATTCTAGGTTTGACACTCGAGACGAATGTCGATCTACAGCACAACAATATCGCCATATTCCCGAAGGAAAGCTTCCACGCCATTCTACAAGTCCTGTCGCGCGGGAGCGGGATCCTCAACGTAAATTGTGAGTTCCATGGCTTTCTCGCAACACACTATGATCTCCCGAAATTCGTTATTTTGCGTCACATGATGAATTAGAAATCGAACACTATATCCAATCCAATATTGATTTGTCCAGCATTTTCCCCCGAAGGAGGAACACCAGTAGGGAATACCATTCAGTGCGATTGTCATGCTGAATGGTTAGCGAACGACCGACTCTTCAAGAGCATCGGCGGGAAGTGTCGAAACGGAATCGAATTTCAGAAATTCAGCTGGAACGAGTTAGAATGCCTTCAGCCCTGCCCCTACTCGTGCGTCCAGATCGGCTTCTTCCCCCTCTGCAATCCAGAGACGGTCATCTTGTCGAAGGTGGAGGGCTGCCGATCCCAGGAGCTGTGCTGCCAGCCGAACTTCCAATCGATCGCCGCGGCCAAGACGACGACTCCCCGACCGACAGGTACGATCGCGGCGTAAATCGGTCGGTTTCCATGGAAAAAGTGACTTCATTGTCAGTTGAACAACTCCATTTGACCTCGGTCATCGTTAACGCCTGCTCTCGTACTTGAATTTTGAGAACGCCAGATTCAATTCGTGCCGATATGGATTGATTTATCAGTTAGTGGTTGATGCATACGTATGGATTCATCGGGATGATTTCAAGAAAATTAAATATATATGGGGTGTATGAGAAATAGTAAACGGGTGCAAATCGCCCAGGTAATGCCCCATGGGTGTAAATCTGCGCCCATCGCATGGATGGAAACGATCTATGCAGCATGAAAAACAGAATTTTAGGAGAGTTTTTTCTTCATCGCTCGCTGCACTCGAATCAGTGCGGTGTAAGTGGTGACGATTTTTCAGAACAGCACTAATTATTTTGAACTCCCACAAGGCACTCAATCAAGTCACTTTAGAGAGAAGACATAAGGCAATCCTAGCCGCAGGCGAACGACTCATCCAAACAACTCTTGATCTTTGGACATTGAATAACCCATTGAGATGTCATATGAGTCAAAATTTATTTCTTTTCTTTTCATTGTTTGTGCCGTTCTCGAGGAACACATGACTTGCGCCGAAATATGTACGGATAAGGGACATGTTCAGGAAACCATCTTCGATTGGCCTCATTGCAACTCATGGTGTTCGTTCATGTGTCAAATATTTTCCCCCAAAATTCTGCTTTCAATCCTGTATAGGTGGTTTCGATCCAAGAGGTGGGCGCCGAGAAATTGCGATTTAGATTATTTCACAACTTCTGAGAATATCACTCGAATATGGTTCTGGATTCAAGGTGTAGAATTAGTAACAAAAATGAATAAGATTCGATGCGGATTTCTTTCGTCAAATAAATATCTGAACATTAAACGAATGCTTGAACTGTTGCATCACGGCCCGAAAGTCCAAGGTTTCTCAAAGATATTGAAGGAAAAAAAAAGGGGGGGGGGGGAAATGCATGAGAGATCTGTCTCTTCCAGTCTTGGGTCCGAGCGGATGCGAAGAACCGCCTGCCTTGCAACACGGATTCATGCTCACGACTTGCTCGGGGGTTTCCACGAGGTGAGGAACCGGATTGCGGAGATTCGCGGGCAGACTCATCGCTTGCGAAAACGGCCCGCTGCGAAATCAAAGTTGCGGAATTGCTTTCAGCAATGCGAGCGAAGGAGTCGACGAAAGCAGCGATTCGCAGTGCATCAAAGGGGGCAAGTACGCGGCCGGAAGCAGAACGGAGCACAGGTGCGACGATCACTACGTCCTGAGGGGATCCCAGTTCCGGACCTGCGCAGAGAGCGGGGAATGGACGGGAACCGTTCCGTTCTGCGAGCGAGCGCCGCCCATCATAAAAGATTGCTGTGAGTGCGCAGATTCCAAACTTTACCTCGTTGGCGCCCTGGGAAATGGAATTCTTCCACCGTGATGTCACTGCACATGCAGGGTTTCGGTAGATGAAAACGACGATTATTTTTTTGTATTCTTTGCATTTCTTATTTTTGAATATACTGGGGAAATGCTCATAATTGTCAGAGGAAGGAATGAATGTGGGTAGAAACAAAATAAGAGTTTAATGCAAAGCTGGGAAACACCCTGCATTTAATATTTTTTAAGCGAAATGAATCACATCATAGACTCAGGGAAACTCATCGCTGAACCACTTCACTGCGTCTCCTTCCGCGTCCAGACTGCGGTCTGACCCCGCGCCCCGACGTCCGGACGGGAAACGAAACGGAGAAGGATGTCCTCGTGGAAGGCGAGACCGTCCCCGGGTCTTGGCCCTGGACCGCGGCTCTCAAGACGAAGGACGGGGAGTTCGTTTGCGGGGGGACCCTCGTCAACAGTCACTCCGTCCTCACGGCCGCCCATTGCGTTTACATGTATGTCGGCCATCGCTCTTCTCTCATCATCGTCCTAAACTTAGCTGTGAAATATAAGACCGCTTCTCCCTCTGATGTTTTTCGGAGAAGGTAAGGTATGACACGCACTGTGGAATCAACTCATTCTTTACATTTTGAAATCTTGAATCCATACACAGCGTGAATAAGACTGACAGGTATTTTCCAGATGGGTTGCATGCACGGCACTTAAAGGTTGGCGAGTACATGCTAAGAAGGTGGCCTGAGTTGCTCAGCAGTGGGCAGCTATAAAGCTGCCGAAACTTTATGTAGGCGAGCCGTGTATTAATTAGGAATGTTTGTTTTAGGTGCTGGTATTTTATGAGTCTCTTCGGGACGGGTGGCCACTAAGTTCACAAAAAAGGGAATCGTTTAGACTGACAGTAGATCGATTTCAAGATCTGTTTGGCATGGAGCTCATCCACAAATTTGCGTGCTCATCTCATTTGAACGCAATAAGCATTGCGTTAGGTAAAACGCAGAATGGAAAATGCGAGCCTTCTTTCTTGCACCAGGGAAGATCCGGGCTCATTCTACGTGTCCCTCGGCGATCACGACAGACTTGAACCCGAGGCCGGTCAGCTGGACGTGAAGATCAGGCAGATCGTGATCCATCCGGCCTTCGATATCGACACTCTCCGGTACGACTTGGCGGTCGTTCTCCTGGACAATCCGGCGCCCTTCCTCAACTATCCCAATATTCGTCCCATCTGCCTCCCGAAAGCCGACGAGCGTTTCGACGAGGCGATCAGGGAGGGAGTAGTCGTCGGCTGGGGCCTTCCACAGAGAGGTCACTCCGATTTTATGCATTCATAAAAACATGCGGTCGTGGGAAGACGTAGGAGTTTATTTACATTTTGCGGCCCTTCAGGTGGTTTGAAGGTGGGGCCGCTGTCGAGAAAGGAAAAAATGACGATCGTTCATATATTCCCTCCCGAGATCTGCTCCAAAGTGATCGGGTCTCTCTACGACGAAGAGACGATGATCTGTGCCTCGAGCCGGGAGGGACGAGTCTGCAACGTGAGTTCCCCCGTAGCATTCTGGCTTGGGTCTTTCCTTCCTCGGATGTCATCGGTCGACCGAAACGAGGGACCGAATTCCTCAGGGAGACGGAGGAGCGGGGCTGGCAACGATAACCAGATACACTCGACATCCACGGGAAGAGCCATCGAAGGGCCGGGTACCTGCGGGCGCAAACGAAGGAGCGTGCTCGAGATCCCCGGTGTTTACTTTGGCAGGAGTGACGTCGTGGGCGAAAGGGAGCTGCGATCCGAAAATCCCGTCTGGATACGTCCGTCTTTCGGGTACGCTTTCGTCCTCTCGTCTTCCCGACGAGTGAGTTCGCGCCGTCGTTCTCCGTCTTCTTCCGTGAACGTTTTCGTTCCTGGCTTTCAGCTAGCGTGATGACTTGGCTCTCGAGGACATCCGCCCACGGGTTCTTCTGCGCGGAACCTCGACGGTAGCATTCGTGGATCGCTCGCCCGACCAAAATCATGCCGAAAGAAGTCGAAAGGGTGAGTGAACGCTATTACGTGAAGGCCTTCTGAATTCCCGAATTAATTGCCGAAAGCAAACGCGTCGGTAAAGTCGTTCGCCGAGATCATTTTCGCCGCGGTTACTTTACCGTGCGTCATTTCTCTGCGTGTACATTTTCTACGTCTTCCTTTTCACCGCGGGAATTTTTCACGTAGGTGCGACTTTTCCCATTTTCTTGCGAGTCTCTCCTCACTTCTCCTTTTCCTTCTGAAGAAACGAAGAACACGCGCGAACGACGGTGGCTTCGAGCCTCGAGTACAGTGTCTCCCCGCGGCTTCTTGTTTTTGCGTATCCTTTGTTCGGTAGTCACACCCTCGCGTTCGTCATCTACCCGTACGTCACGGCGCAGGCGTCATCGCAGCAATGGTATACAGAGCAGAAGAGGTTGAGAAAAACCCATGTTAGAAACCGGATTTCGGGACGTTCGCGACCGCATCGTCCAAGGCTCTCCGAGCACCAAAAATCCACGTTGAAACCCGGCAAGGTGTCTTTCGAGGTGGTCTGGGATGCACTCACCCAACGCCATGCGAATTTATCAATTATTTAATACACGAACGGGACGCCGGGAAATCCTAGCGGAGCGGGCACTCTCTGGCCGTCCGCAAATTACGAATTTTTAAAATTAATTATTTTTCTTTGGGAAAAAAAGAGATTAATTAGTTAAATTAGTCCGACTCCGACTTAAATTAAGTAAGAAAGACTAGGCCGGTGATGATGGCCTCCCGACCTCGGTCGAACAGCGGCAGGATAGGGATGCCCTTACGTATTTCCGTGGCACTGCGCACAATCTTCGGTTCCGAACTCGATCCGGCGATCTAATTTGCTCTGGTCGGTTTCCCCATCGCGAGACCATTCTCAACATGGTTCATTTCGTCATTCTTCCATTTTCCAGGACGATTCGTGACGGAAAAGTGGAAGCAGCGAAAAGGCTGACATGTAGATGATTGACGGTTGCGAATATATATCGTTTGCAGTTAAATGTCGGCAGTCATTTGTCAGACATGATTGTCTGATGAATTGACATTTGACTGACATTTGTCAGAAATGACTTGCAGCGAAATGACGTGGAGCCCGCTTATAGATAAGCACCCTTTCCGAACGCGGGAGAATGGTTCAATAAAGGTTCATGATCTTTGGCTCCGATGCTCCATTAACTTATCTTAACCTAAATTTGGAGAATAAATAAATCTTATTCGCCTGGTTTCCGATAACTGCACCTGTCAATGGTTTACGATGCTCATTACGTGGTGTATTTGCTACATCTGCCATTCGACGCGATTTCGAACTTGTCATTGCAGTCATGGACATTTCTGAAAGACGGTTTGCGCGGACGGCAACGGGATACGGCTTCTACACGGGCTTGGAGTTTCATGGATATTATTTGACTTTTTTTGTTCTTGTAAATATATGCGTCTCCACTTGCATACTTTGAATAAAGGTATCTCCACGTCTACGGAATGTTTATTTCCAGGAAACACGTGAAAATGAGACATTGCAAAAAAAAAGGATTTTTTGGATGTGCGGATGATCATCCCACACTGTCATCCCACACTGTCATCCCACACTGTCATCCCACACTGTCATCCCACACTGTCATCCCACACTGTCATCCTTTCATATCGGGAGAGAGAAAGGGAAGAAGAGAAAAATAATATTATGTACTCTTGTTATGGAAATAGGAAATAAGAGATTAGGGACGTCCTTCCGTTTGAAAACAAAAACTGGCTTTTACATGATACCATTTTAATCATCTGCTAATACAGCGTCAAAATAAAAATGCAAATAACAAAATGGGCTTAATGCAAGGAAACTGAAAATATTTAATTTTTTATTGTTTCCTTTTCCTTACAGGGAAATAGGGTAATAAGGAAGATCTTGGCCTCTTCTTGTTCCCTCTCCCCTCTTCCCGCAAAATCGTGTCTTATATTGATTGCTCGACTCTTTTTAAAAGTATAGCTGTCCAAAGTAGGTGGTCCTCCGTATTCTATCGAAGGGGCGTCTATTGCCTCCCTTCCAGATGGAAGTTTTTTTTTTAATTAGCGCTAGTATTTTATAGTGGGCGTAATCCTTTTGAAGAGAAAAGCAGGGCTTGTACGCGAAGGTGAGCGCGGAATAGGATTGGCTTCAAATTCATCAGAGGAAGAAATGCAATAGAAGCACTGGGGCCACCTCAATTTCCTCCCATCCCGCTCTTCCCTTCGCAGAAGGATGAGGCGGGGCGACGGAGGGGCTCGTAGGACAGAATGGAGTCGAATGGTCGGGTGGGGGAGCCGGGTTGGGTGGAGGAGCCGAGTCGGGTGGGGGAGCCGGGTCGGGTGGGCTCTTCCCGGGTTGCTCGCTGCGCGATGCGTGGTTGCGTCAGTGATTTAGATTGTTTTCTTGTGGATTCTCCATTCATCTTCGAGGCTAGCTTCATTCATTTATTTTTTCCGCATCGAGAACTTCCCACTCTTCATCAAACGTAATAGAGGGTGATTTGAAAAAACGCTCTTTCGTTTTCTATGGGAGAGACACAGTAAATAATGCAAATAAAATTGATACATCGAATTTGCAATCGACTTTGGACATTAAAAGATGTTGAGATACATGTCACATGAGATACATTCCACCTTAAATGGTAAAATGATCTGTGCTCGAACATGTCGGAATTCAATTATAACTTCCAAATGGTCGGAATTGTTGAGAATAGCCAAAAGATGGAAAAGAAGCAGGACCGTACTTCAATCGGAGTCCCAGGAAAGTGAGTTTTAAATCGGTCGAGGCGGCGCAACATGGCCGCAAACCGCTAGGTGATGATATCCTAAATGCACTGTCGTTACAAAGTCACCACATTAATTTGACTGGACCTAACTTTCCAAGGGACAGTTAAATGCAGCTGACACTTGAAAGAGAGGTTCGTGAGTCTTTACCACATGCCTCAAGATGGCGTAGCAGTTCGACTGCAGCGCCCTCTTTCTACGTTCCACGCCATTCTTAGGCAGGAAATATAAAAGTAAATGACCGTGCGCCTCCGTGCAAATTATCACTAGCATCTGAATCCCCTTTCAAATGACACAGTCGAAAAGAATCGGACGGTGACTTGTAAACATCCGACTTCGTTCGGTCACGTGCACCCCATGGCGTATTGCCTTCCCCCCGGTGAACTTTGAATACGGGTCGCACGAGCGTGATCCCGTGTCGTCATAAATTCGATGATTCGTCGTAAAGAGCAGCGCTGGCAGGGCCGGAAGACGGAGTTGAGGCATGGCGAGGAGGAGGTGGCACGCAAAAAAGTAACAAGCAGGGGGAAGTGTCGTAGGTCTGAGGCGAATCATAGATGTCAGGAGTCAGGAGTCAGGAGAGTTAGTGATATCAAGAGGCGATTTCGCC